ACAAGGGATGTTTAGGGCAATGAAAGTATTCTATGTATGGTAATGATAGATACATGTCATTATACATTTGCCAAAATGTACAACACACAAAATAAACCCTAAACTATAGGCTTTAATTAATATTAAAGTATCAAAATGGCTTATCAATTGTAACAAATATGCCCTATAATGCAAGATGTTAATAATAGGGAAAACTGGTAGATGGGGTGAAGGGGTACATAGGAACTCTTTTGTTCAATATTTCTTTTGTTCAAATTGTGCCCAATTTTTCTGTAAAACTAAATGTGTTCTAAAAAAAACACAAAGAATTAAAAAAAAAAAAAATTGCTCAAGAAGTTTTTCCAAAAAGGAAATAACAGAAGGAAACTTGGAACATGAGGAATAAAGGAAGGACAGAATGGGTAAACATTTGGGTAAATATAATACACTATCCTTGAGTTTTTAAGATTATGTTAGATGGCTGAAAGCAAATTATATTGTCTACATGTATAGATGATTCTCAATGTATATAAAGGAAATATTTAAGAAAACTTATAAAGCAGAAAGGATAAATGTACCTAAATGGTAGTAAAGTTCTTACATTTCACTTTAAGTGTTGATACTAGTTGACTGTGATAAGTTACATATATATAGTGTAATCCTAAAGCAATCAAAAAAAAAAAAAACCTATACAAAGAGATATGCTAAAAAGCACAACAGACAAGGCAAAATGGAATACTAAAAAATTTCAGGTAACCCACAGGAAGGCAGGAAAAGAGAAAAAGAAATGGAAAAACAAAGAAAAAGAAAAAATAAAATGGCAGACAATTCTGCCATTTTATATCAATAAATATATTAAATTTAAGTGTCTAAATTTATTAAAGACATATGACAGATTTAAAAAATAACCTAAATATATGCTGTCTACTTGAAGCATTTCAAATACAAAGGCAGGTTTAGAATAAATGAATGGAAAAAAGATAAGCAAATACCAATCCAAAAAAAAGCTGGAGTGGTTATACTATACTATTATCAGATAAAGCAAACTTCAGATCACAGAGGGGAACACTATATAAAAATAAAGGGTCAATATGCCAAGAACACATTTAAAAGTTTCATCTCCAAACATTTGGAACAGCATACTCCTAAACAATTTAAGGATCAAACATATAAAGAAGGAAATAAAAAATATATTGAATGACATGAAAATACAAAATATCAAAACATGTAGAATGCTGCTAATTAGGGCTTAGAAAATTTATAGCACAAAATACTTATATTAGAAAAAGAGGGGCCAGGCACAGTGGCTCACACCTATAATCCTAGCACTCTGGGAGGCCTAGGTGGGAGGATCGTTTGAGCTCAGGAGTGCGAGACCAGCCTGAGTCCCATTTCCACTAAAAATAGAAACTAGCTGGCCAACTAAAAGTATATAGAAAAAATTAGCCAGTCATGGTGGCACATGCCTGTAGTCCCAGTTACTCGGGAGGCTCAGAAAGGATTGCTTGAGCCCAGAAGTTTGAGATTGGTGTGAGCTAGGCTGACACCATGGCACTCTAGCCTGGACAACAGAATGAGACTCAGTCTCAAGAAAAAAAAGGAAAAAAAAGAAAAAGAAAAAGAGAAATCTAAACTTTGACTTCAAGAACTAAAAATAAAGGACAAGATAAGCCCAGAGAAGCAAAATGAAACAAAGATGAATAGAAATCAATGAAATTGAAAACAAAAAGAAAAATCAATGAAACAAATAGGTAGTTCTTTGAAAAGATGCATATGATTGATATGTTCCAGCAAGACTGACAAAAACAAAAAGAGAGAAAACTAATTACCAATGTCAAAAATGAAAGAGATATTACACAGCCTACAGACATTAAAAAGATAATAAAGGGACATTACAAAAAACTTCATGCATAAATTTAAGAGCTTAGAAAAAATAGACTAATTCATTGAAAATTGCAAACTACCAAAACATTGAATAGTTCGGTAATTACTAAATAAATTCCCAATTTTAGAATTTCTGAAAAAGAAATCTCCAGGTACAAATGGTTTCATTGGAGAATTTTACTAAACGTTTAAAGAATTAACATCAATTCTACATTCTAGAAAATAGATGAGAAAGACACTAGGTTCCCAACTCATTTTGAGGCCACCATTACCTTACAAAAACTATAGACTTGTATCCCTTATAAACAGAAAGGCAAAAATCTTCAGCATAATATTGCCAAATCCTATGCAGCAATATATAAAAAGAATTACATGCTGAGACCAAGTGGGGTTTATTACAGGAATACAATGCTTGCTCAGTATTTGAAAAACAATCAATGTGACTGCTATGATTTGAATGTCTTCAAATTTTCACGTGTTGGTAACTTAATCCTCAAATTCATGTTGACTGGAAATGGGACATTTGGGAAGTAATTAAGCTTAGAAAGAGTAATTAGGATAGGGCCCCCATGATGGGAATGGCAGCTTTGTAAGAAGAGGCCTGAGCTGACATGCATGCTCCTGTCCTTTAGCCATCTGATGCCCTCTGCTATGTCATGATGCAGCAAAAAGGCCGTTGACAGATGCTAGCACCATGCTCTTGGACTTTAGAAATTTCTTTTCTTTATAAATCACCCAGTTTATGGTATTGTTATAGCAACGAAAAACAGACCAAGACAGCAATCCACCATATTAAAAAAAAAACTCATTTTGGTTATATCAACTCATGCAAAAAAGAATATTTGGAAAAACAGCAAACTAGGGCTAAAATTCATCTTTGATATTGTTTTATATCATTTTTCATCAGTATGAATACATACTTGTCAGTATAGGACATTTGATTCAAATTTATTAAACTGATTTAGATATTAATAGTATATTGGCCTCCCTTTATATTCTAACTTCAGACACCACAAAAATAATAGAGGTAGGTCTATCCCACCTTTGCCTGAAAAATCAAGAAAAAAATAGCTTCCAGAACTAAAAATAACCAAACTATCTAATTTAACAAGAGAAATAGCCATTAAGAGAACATGGGGTGAATGAAAGCTATGGAAAAGATTGACATATTTAAAATAACTACAGCTAGAAGGCCTAGAAAATCACTAAGGAATCACTATTTCATTAAAATTTTGTTAAAATGAATTTTATTCCTAATTAAGTTGTCTTCATTGTGTAAAAATAATATATCATGCAAGGACACAGAAATATACCATTCATTGTCTTCTTCTTGAAAAAAAGATCATTAAGACATGAATCAAATTTAAGAACTAGAAAGGGTAATCACAATTTAAAAAGAAGTTTCCTAATTGGCTTGATCCTATAATATGCAGGCAAGGTTGGCTATGCAGTGCTTCCATAATAGCTGTTTTCTTTAGCTCCCTTGGCTTTCCAAACATCAAGAAATATCTTTTTCTCATGCACTATTCATCACCTTGGTGGTGAATATGCAACCTCTTGTCATCATGACTACTTAAAACTGGTGCTTTCTCTTCTGGCACTTTATAACAATGGCTTAACTCTTTACACTGTACCAGCCAAGTCAAGAGTAGCACATCTGGACATTTTCAACATTAAGGAATATAAATAGGCCGGGCGCGGTGGCTCATGCCTGTAATCCTAGCTCTCTGGGAGGCCGAGGCGGGCGGATTGCTCAAGGTCAGGAGTTCAAAACCAGCCTGAGCAAGAGCGAGACCCCGTCTCTACTATAAATAGAAATAAATTAATTGGCCAACTGATATGTATATAAAAAATTAGCCGGGCATGGTGGCGCATGCCTGTAGTCCCAGCTACTCGGGAGGCTGAGGCAGAAGGATCGCTCGAGCCCAGGAGTGTGAGGTTGCTGTGAGCTAGGCTGATGCCATGGCACTCACTCTAGCCTGGACAACAAAGCAAGACTCTATCTCAAAAAAAAAAAAGAAAAAAAAAAGGAATATAAATAATTACCGTCTGCACCCCCCAATCACTTAACACATTAAGGAAGAAAATTAAAATCTATATACAAGTGTGTAGACAACTAAGGAAAACAGCATACAAGCACACGAAAGAAAAGATGCTCATCACTAATCATAATAGAAACATAAATTAAAACCACAATGAGATAGGATTCCACATTCACTAAAGGCTAAAATTAAACAAAACAACACCTAAAAATACAAAGTAGTGGCAAGGATGTGAAACACTTTGACCCCTCACACATTGCTTTTGGGAATATAAAACAGTACAGCCAATTCTAAAAACAGTTGGGCAGTTTCTTACAAAGTTAAACACATTTAACATATGATATAGCAATCTTAATCCTAGGTATTTACTCAAGAGAAATGAAAACATATAACCACACAAAGACTTGTATATACATGTTCATAGCAGCTTTATTTATAATAGCAAAACACCAAAAACAACTCAAATGTCCATCATGTGGTAAATGAATAAACACTGTGATAGATAGAACCATACAATGAGATACTAAACAATAAAAAAGGAACCAACTACTAATACATGTAACATGAGTAACTCAAAAGCATTATGTTAAGAGAAAGAAGCTGGACACAAAAGACTACCTAGGATTCCATTTATTTGAGTCTAGAAAATGCAAAACTATAGTGACAAAAAGCAGATTAATGGTTGCCAGCCAGGGGTAGTAGTAGGGGCAAGGGATTGACTACAAAAAACAAGGGAAATTTTAAATGATGGGAATGTTCCATATCAAGATTGTGGTGGTGGTAATTACATGATTTTTATACATTTAACAAATTCACTGAATTATACACTTAAGTTGGTTAGTTTTATTATATATAAAATAATAATGCCTTAAAGCTTAACAAAAAGTATAGAAATATACTAAAATATAAAAAAATGGTAAGATGATTAATTGAATTTCCAAATATATTTTAGTAAGGATGTATAGTTTTAAAATCAGAATAAAAATGTCATTTAAAAACAATTAGCATATTACAAATATGATTATACAACATGATCACAATGACATATATAAACACAAACTCAGAGCTTAGAGGAAAACTTACTACTATTTCCTCTGGGTGAGGGAGTACTAAAAAAATTCATTCTAAAGCTTTTCTATAATTCATAACTCTTAGAGTGGACTTTATTTTAAAAATGCAGTAAGAATAGAGAATAACTTGTAATAACTGGTATAAGTTTATCTAGAGCTTTTGCCCAAATTAATTAGGAAGGCATTACATGTACTCACTTTTAAAGATGCATTTTTAGAGATTATTGTCCTTTATTTCTTTCATTTTTTCAGGTAAGTTTCTGTTTCAGGGTTATTATTATTATTATTTTTAAAGAGTTATCCTCTGCACTGCTCAGAGTGGTAAGACAAACAGATTTTCCTTCTTAATTTAATGGCTTATTCTTAAGACCACTAAAGAACAAATAGTTCTTAGATCTGGAACACATTTTCCACTCCAGTAATGCCCTATTTTGTAAATGACAAAAAAACTCAAGAACATAAATAGCATCTTGAATTAAAATTTCCATCCTGATCAGTTATAGTGAAAACACACATTGGAGGCGACAGTAACTGCGCTTTAATCCCTGTGAATACTTCATCTATTAAATAATTCTTCAGGAACATTTTCCCCATTCATATGGAGATTAAATATTGGTTTGCAAACATGGAACCAAATCTTTTTTATAGAATCTTTTTACTTTTACATATATGTATATACATATATTTTTCCCCCTTGAACTCCCTAATGCGAGTTAACAGAATCTTTAAATGCTTTCTTCCAAGACCATTTTGGCCAAGTGACTTTGTGAATTGAAACCACATAGTAAAAGGAAAGAAAAAAGCACAAAGATAAATACTCTTATAGAGCAAATAAGACCAGACCAGATGGTCACCTTGACTGTAGGGGAAAAAGTGGTAAGCTACAATATTGTGGCATGACTCAATGCCAGAATTGAGGGACAGATAACTTTTGGGAGAAGTGCAGCAAAGAAAACGGACTTGGAACACACAGCACATTCACACCCTTGGTAGGCAATGACAGGTGACATACATTCCCAGAAATGGGAACACTGCCTGAACCAGTGCTATTAACAGATCACTGTAGCATTATCAATACATCCCAGTAATTGTATGATACTATTCCTTTGGTTTCCTTGCATTTATGGGAAGGCACAATAAAATTGGCATTTTTTTAAAGTGCAGCAGGATGCTTTTCCTGTTTATTTTTGCAGTACGTCCAGCACTTTTATACCTTTTGTCAGATGAGGGTCAAAACTGTTATATCACAAAATATTAATAAATAGTAGAAACAGATGTATCAGCAAGTTAACACTCAAGATGGATAGTGTAAATTTTAATTAATATGCTTTTTGTCAAATTAAAAATACCCTGCTAAAAGTGGTTTAAACAATGAAGGCTTTTTATTATATCAAAATAAGTTCATGTATAGAGCAGTTCCAGAGTTGGTTAATTCTGCAGCTCAGCAGCATTATCAAGGACTCTGGTGAGTTCTATCTTTCCACTGAGCCGACCTGAGTTTACGGCTGTGTCCCTTGTGATCATAAGTTGCCTGCAGCAATTCCAAGTATCAGATTCAGACAAGACAATGTCCAAACAAACAGCAGAGTTTCCTCCTCTACTAGTGAGAAAAATTTTTCTCAGACACCCCCTTAAGACTACTTCTCTGTTGTCACTGGCCAGGAGAGGTTCACCAATTACTTATAATTGCCTCACCAATTACTTATAAGGGGAATGAGATACATGACTGGCTTAGAACCTGATTTGCTCTTGAGGAAGAGGGTCTGACAAACATGGGCACAAAGTTAGGCAGTGGGGAAACCACCAGAACAAGGTAAGCATTCTTTAGAAGGGACAAAATGGCTGTTGGACAACCACCAATAGTATCTGTCACAATCTGATAGGGCTGAAACAGTACATGTTGTCACACTAGCTTCCACTGGCTAAGAGGGTAAAGCAGCAATGAAAAAAAGTGTATTATAATGGATTGTTATACATTAAATAATAACTAAGATTCAGAGAGAATACTCTATGTGCCAGGTACTAGCTTATGTGCTTTACACATATTAACATACTTCATCCTCATAATTGTTACCTGTACAGTCGTCCTGGCTCCAGGACCCCCATGGATACTAAAATCCACAGATGTTCAAGTCCCTTATATAAAAGGCATATCATATGCATATAACCTAGGCACATTCTCTTGTACACTTTAAATCATCTCTAGATTACTTATAATACCTAATACAATGTAAATGATACAGAAATAGTTATTATACCGTATTGTTAAGGGAATAAGAAGGAAGAAAAGTCTGTACATGTTTAGTACACACACAATCATCTACCTTTTTTCCCCCAAATATTTTCAATCCATGGCTGGTTGAATCCACAGATGTGGAACTCGCAGATATGAAGGGCCAACTGTATTTTACAGATAATGAAAAGGAAACAAAGAAAAGCCAAGTAGCTTGCCCAAGACATCTAGTAAATGACAGAGCTGAGATTGGAACTGAGGTAGTCAGGCCCCAGATTCATGCTCTGAACCGCTACATTTTGCTACAGTGATGTAAAAGGGATACATATATACTTTAAAAAGAGTAAAAATATCAAACAAATCAAGCGATAGGTGAACATGTAGAAACCAATCCAAGAAGTTAGCTGAGATTTACACATTGTACATTTTATTAAATACTGGGCTTTATTACAGCAAATTAATTTACTTCTCATAGAAGTTTCATTTTAAAAAATATGGTTGTGTTCAAATTCTTACTTGACACAGCTTTTTGGCTAACTATTCTATTTTTACCAAGTTTATACTCAGTCATTATGGATAGAAAGATTAATTTTGTATAACAACTAAGGAATTTCTCAAGTGGTACAACATTTCATACACATAAGGGGAATATACTCCCAAAGAGTGGACATGACCACAAGAGAGAACAGAGAAACATATTGATTGCTTTTTATGGTATATTTATAATAGCTACAGATACCACTAAGTCATGCACATTAAGTTTTTACTACCTACTGAAGAGTTCTACCTTACACATGAAAATCAGTCATGTCCCAGGGTTTGGCATCTAAGCCAAAATTTAAAACTACGATGGAGATGGCTGTCAAATTGGTTTTTCAGACCACCACAGAAAAGTTGTCAGCTGTAATATCCATCCTGGGATCGTGGCGGAAAGTTCCTGGGAGTGGCCTTTTCCTGTGTTTTGATCAAGTCTATAATAGCTGACAGTACTGCACAGTCTCTGGATTTAGTGTCCTTCCAGTCTACAGGATGAGGACTTTCGATCTTCTCTTGCAGAAGGGTATCTAGTTCCTTTCTTAATTCCTAAGGTTGGAAAAATTATACATGTTCAACAAAGGCAGATATAATGTCAAACAATGTAAGAAATAAAAATGATTTTAGCTGATATAAGGACGCTCACAAGCTATTGCACAGAAGTTTGAAATATTTAGTGAGCTACCAACTAAAGTGTAGTTAAATTCAAACTTCAAGCACATTGAGCCATTTAGAAGTCTGTTATCATCTCAAAAAATAATTTGGAAAACTATGAATCAATTTCTCAACATTATTTGCTTTGTTGAAATAGACCAAGAAGTTTTAATATATATAACATTTAGAACAAAACCACGAGACCACATGCTGGCATACATGTACATTTAAAGACAATCATGTAAAGTCAGTCACCTTAACAAGATGGGCAATTCTTGCAGGAGACTGAAAGACAATCCATTCATCTACAGCTATAGTTTCCTGATCGTTATCCTTCTGGATGGAAATATCACCTCCAAAGAACAAGAGACAATATGGGGAAACCTCTGTGCAGTCATACAAGTATATCTATAATGAAAATTACAGCAAATTAATACATTCAGGAGTCTGAATGAGTTATTACCACATTAATTCAACAATATTACCAGTATCAATTAATTAGTACCTTTCTTTTAAACTATGTATTAACTTGCTAGTGTAATTAGAGATTAATTTTGAAGAAATATCATTTTAAATGAGCCATTCTTCATTTTCAGAGAACATAGGTATTTTATACTTTTAATTTTTTGCTACATGCTCTATTCTGCTGGAATATACTTTTGTTTTAAACTATAGCACCATTCTTCAAACAAAATATTTTCTGAGTGACAAAACTAAAACACTAATGTATTATAGGTGAAATTATTTTTATCTACATATCCAGTATTTTAAAAATCATGTCAAATTATTTTCCTAAAGAGATAAATATACTTATAGAATCCCACTTAGCATTCTGACCAATATTTATAAGGTATAGTGACATGCCAACAAAATTCTTTACATAGTATAAACTCCTATATACCATAAAATGTGCCAATATTTCTTGAAAAAGCAGGCTCTAAAAGAAAATTATAAAAATCAAATAACTATCCTAACTAATTAAAATATAAAGAATCATAATAGACCTGTAAATTAAAAATATAGGTTATTCACTTAAGGAAAAAAGTTATTATTCATGTCAGAAGAAAAAAAATTATAAATTTTGTTTATAAAAATATCCAACTGATAATTCAGATCAGACTTTGACTGTTTTAAATGTTTACTTACACTACTTGTTCTCATCTTCAGGTGATAGATAAGCCAGTTGTAGTGAAAATCTGTTTGTTCCACATTAACAGATTTAGGATGAATAGAAACTGTGCCATCAGTTTTTGTGTAAACTTTCACCCTTTAAAAAAAGGTAGAATGTAGTCTGTTAAAAAGAAGTCTTCCTAGGATTCTTTTTTTTTTTTTTTAAACTACTTCAAAAACTGATAGAAGGGCTTGGTAAAAACCAATAATGCCTAGAATTTAAGAAACTCGACAGTTGAATTCAGTTTATTTTTGTAAAAAATAAATTTTAAAATTTATAGTGGAGGAAAGAGCATAATTTTTTAAATAATATATGGAAAAATATTACCTAAATATGAATACCTTAAATCATGTAACTAATTCTCTTCTTACAAATATAATACTCAACATCTTAGTAAAGTGACAGAATATTCCTTTCCTTAATTATGTTAATATATACCACTGGAGGATAAACACCAAAATAAATATCTAAAATAGCTGTGACTTAGATCAAGAGAACAGTCTATACATTTTACTATGACAATCATGATACTGACAAATAGCCTTCAATTTATAGGATAACTTTGTGAAATGATGAATTTAAATATTTTATAGAGTATGTACCTAGATGAATATAAAATAAAAAATTATGTATTCTGTTTAAATATACATTGACAGTTCTAGTTCAGTCTCTCAATTCCTAGGGGTCTTTTCATTGACAGTCATGTAATATACATTTTACCTCAATTTGTAAGAGTTAATATTATTCAAGAAGGAGACATCTGATGGTTTATTTTTAAACAGTTAATGGTAATTACCTGTATCAGACAATAGCATAAAACCTAATCCTTCCTGTTTGTTTGTAAGAGCGTTTTTTTGAGGTTCTAGGAATTCATAATACTTGTACCAAAATCATGAATAATAGTCAAGATTCATATTTAGAATAAAATCAGAAATTATGTTTTCTCAGCCCAAAGTCAATTCAACCAATGACATCCTACAACCCTGCATGACTACAGCAGCGGGAGTTGGCAAATTTCTATACAGGACCACAGAGTAAATATTTTATGCTCTATATTGTGGGACTCTATAATCTGCCACAACTACTCAAATCTGCTAGTATAGTGGGAAAGCAAAGAGACAACAAATGGGCATGGCTGTGTTCTTACATAAATGTACAAAAAACAAGCCTACAGGCCAAAATTTTCTGACCCCTAGTCTAGACTAAAACAAAGCACCCATGCAAGAAGAACTACATTTTTTTCATGAAGCCCTCCCTGGATGGCAGAAGAGATTAATGAAATATTTGTATTTCAAAGAATCTCTCTGTGAAGCTACTGTAAAGTTAAGTAACAGTACAGAAAAGAATTTAGCAAAGTACTGATGTCAAAAAACTACCTGGATCACTTAAAATTTGGATAATCCAACCACAATGATTAAAACTCTGCTACCCATAATTTTGTACCTTAGAATAGGGTTTCTCCAACCCTTAGCACTATTGCCATACCAGGTAATTCTTTGTTGTAGGGGGCTTTCCTGTACATTATAGGATGTTTAAATGCATTCCTGGCCCCTATCTAGTAGATGTTAGAGTACTCCCCAGTTATGAAAACCCTAAAGGTCTCCAGACACTATCGAATGTTCCCGGGGGGTGGGGGACAAAAATCACCCCAGTTGAGAACTACAGCCTAGGAACAATGTTTGCACTTTGGTCTATCTTTAAAATCTGTTATGCTTTAATGTTTATAACCATAGGGTATCCAACTTTTGCATTTAATATCAGTTCAAATATTTTATATATTACTACCCAATGACTGTTTTATTTGCTCACCTGACACGTCATATAATGTGGTATTATAAAACCGTAATTTCTCCATTGCTACTGGCCATCTATATTGTTTGCAATATAGCTATTAAAAAAACCTTTGGAATTATTTCCTTAGGACATATTCCTCAAATTAAAATACTCACTTATCAATGCACTGGGCCAGTGACTATTATAAATGACCACTGATACATGATTTTAATCTAGAGCACCTTCCAAAAGGGCAGCAACCATACCACTAGCCTTTGTGATTCTTAGTTTCTCTATATTCTTATACTAGATGAGCTCACTTACTAGTCAAAAACATGCCTTGCTGCTGTCTCCAATTACTACTGAGGCTATTTGTACATATATTATACTATATTTCTCAAAATAGTGAAATTACCACAATTTTATTGAAACAGCTAAGTTACAAAATTATCCATTTTCTAAGAGAGGAAAAAAGTTCCTGAAACAAAATCTACTCTAAGCAATTTCTATCCAGGCATTGGTTTTTAACAGTGGCTAGCTTTTCTAATATTTATATTGGCATCAAATTTTGTTGTTCTTTGAGAATGGGTGATCAGAGAGATGATTCTAGCATGTACTGTGAAGGAAAGTAATGTTTATGCTACACAGTTTGTCTCCTTCTAAGTTATCAAAAGTAAGAACAAGAATATGGCCCAAATATGAATAAGAACAAATTTACACTATAAGCCTTGTTACACTAGAAGATTTTAAGTTTAAGGAGAGAATTACAAGTACTTCATAATAATCTTCAATGCTTACATTTTTCTTTTTTTACTCAAATTTAGTCGGATTTTAGCAACTTTGGGATATAAACCAGCACAGATGACAGCTTTAATTATCTTCTCATTATCTATTGAGGGTGGAAGGCAGAGGGAAAAAAAAAAAGTAAAATATTGATACAATGGACAACAGCAACAAGTTATTTACACTATGTTTTCTGCTTTACCTGAATTTATATTAGATTCTGGATCTTTGGGATTTCTACTGCTTACAAATCCAGCCCCAAGAAGATGTTCAGCAAACTGTCCTTTCATGTTATGCAGCATCTAGGAAGCAATAGTAACAAACAGAACTAGAATACCCTTCACACGTAGGGGCTATATAGTATACATTCATAAAATAAATTTAATTGTAAACTTTCTCTGCTTTATGAAACTACTTTTGCAAAACAATGTTTTAAAGCCAAGAGTTGACAAACTATTAAAAAACCTGTTTTTGTCAATAAAGTTTTATTAGAACGCAGCTACACCCATTTTCTGTTGAAACATCTTGTGTTCTACATTTTCCTTTGTAGTATCAGAGTTGTCAAGATCCTTTTTTCCATTTTGCTAATGATTGGGTACTTATATGCTAGATCACTGTTTACCACTTTGTAGGGTTGTTAAATGCCTCATACCACACAGATGGTGTACGTGTGTATTGCAAGAAGGTGAATATATTCCTATTCCTACTGGATTGAGATTCCCAATTCAGTATAGAGTGTGAAGTCTGATGTGCATACGTCCTACCTATTGTTTACTTTCTTCCATTTTACAAACACCTTCCATGCAATGATTTCACTAAGAAGATCAGAAAAGTTAAAGATACCCAGTCTATTTAGTATTTTTCAATAGACTTTAGGAGTATTAGCAAAAATTCTCAAGTTGAATCATCAAAATGACAACTAGAGGGTAGTGATAGGACCAGAAATTGAGCCTCACTGTGCTTTGCTATTATATTCTAAAACCTTGTTTCCTGTCTTAGCCATTAGTCTTTTATTTATTATATTATTATATATTTTTATTATATATGTTTACTTGTTTTGTTACAGTTCATTTATTCTCTCTATAATTTTGTATATAACAAATACATACAATTTCTGTATATTTAACTTTTTGCTATAGATCTAATTGTACAAAATACATATCTAATAATCTAATAATCTCTAATATAGCTTATATGATAATTACTGCAAAACATTAACCACTACTCACCTGCAGTGTGTTTGAAGATAGAAAATATTCCCAGCAATAGTCCTTTTCATATCTGAAACCACGTCGCCTAGCTTCTTCCCAGCCCTATGGGACAAAGAAATGAAGAAATCTACTTATACTGCTCCCCAAAGCAAAGGTTACTTACTGGTTTCTGTCTTTATTTATTTATTTTTTTTTTTGAGACAGAGTCTCACTTTGTTGCCCAGGCTAGAGTGAGTGCCGTGGCGTCAGCCTAGCTCACAGCAACCTCAAACTCCTGGGCTCAAGCGATCCTTCTGCCTCAGCCTCCCGAGTAGCTGGGACTACAGGCATGCACCACCACGCCCGGCTAATTTTTTTGTATATATATTAGTTGGCCAATTAATTTGTTTCTATTTATAGTAGAGACGGGGTCTCGCTCTTGCTCAGGTTGGTTTCGAACTCCTGAACTCAAAGGATCCGCCCGCCTCGGCCTCCCAGAGTGCTAGGATTACAGGCGTGAGCCACCGCGCCCGGCCTCTGTCTTTATTTTAATGACAGTTTAATCTTCTACTGATATTTAATTTTCTTTGTAAAAAATTCAAAGAATTTTATAGTTTACAAACTAGAAAGACAAACTCCTCATGATCATAGTCCTTAAGAGATAACCACCACTGAAGTTCCAGGCCTTTATACAATTAAGTACAAGTTAAACAGTAATACAGGGTGTCCCAAAAGTCACTGTACATAGGGAAAATGGGAAATTGTAGCTAAATGTACACTTACAAAATAATCATTACAAAAGTATACAAAATTTTTCCTTTGTAGTCTCCATACAATTCTGTAACATTTTTCCTTTGTAGTTTCCATACAATTTTATAAAATTTTATAATGACTATTTTGTACGTAGATGTAGATTTAGCTACCATTTCTCATTTTCCCTATGTATGCCATGTGGGGGACACCCTGTATATAAATTGTGTACTTTGCACAAAATCCCACTATAACTGTACATAATATATTAATGAAAAAAAGTACACTGTTAAACTTCAATGCTATTATATATTTTCAAATTCACAAACTTCTTTTAGCTAGAGAAGGAGGGAAATGGGGGAAAATGAAAGACAAGCTGAATAAACTCAAAGGGAAAAAAAACCCATACATTTTCCCATAACATGCAGTACAAAACTGAACTTACAGTTACAGAAAAAAAAGATACTGCCTCTAAAAACCAAATTACATTTAAATTTTATAAAGATGGGTGACAATGTTTATCCTGCCTGGCTTTTGGGAGCAATGACTCTCTAATCTGAATTATGTACATGATTATGATACTATATTAAAATGTTACATCTGAATACAATATAGGTGTAGTTTATTAATAAAGACTATCATGAATGTCAATAAGACAAGGATACCAAGAAATAATGTCATATATAAATTTTAAAACAAATTGTTTACTTGTTCTATTATTACCAAACCAGACATTTTCCTCAAAGGAATAAATGTAATGAGCTATTATAAAATTGAAAATGGATTACAATTTTTTTCAAATGCTTACATAATTTTAAACATTCTCAGTAATACATTCCAGATATTTATGACATTATAGATTTTAAAAGGTTAAATGTGCTCATATCCTATTATCAGCTTTTCAACTTGAATAATCTGTCAGTACAGAACAAGTTTTTAAAAATTAATTCATTAATTTTTACCTCAAATGCATTCACAACTGTCAGGTGGTCACTTCTGGTATTCTTTGCCAATTCTTTTCTTCTTGCATCAGCAATCTTTTCTTTTCCCTTAATAAAAAACAGACAAAGGCAATTTAAATTGGTCTGATGCTATAACAGAACATTCTAATAAATAGCTAATGAAAAGTGTACCTAAGCAATCACTTTGTGTATCTAAAAATGCCTATACTTAATCTAGCTTACCAATGGAATGACAAAGGGATCTTTGAAGCTGAGACTAGCAGCAATAGTGAGAACTGGATCTAGGCAACAGAACAGAGCTCCAAAAAGAATCATTTTTCCAATATGTGGTTCAACTGGTAATCGTGCTAAGTGGACTCCAAGAGGTGTTAATTCTTCCTGTTTATCCAAAGCATTCTGTAAAGGAAGAGTTTATGTTTAAAATGGACATTGTCAAACATTACATTTAAGGCTATTTTAATTTGCTTTAGGCTGATACTCATTCTTGTAAACCCAAATACCCTAATATTGTTCAGCTTTAGTTTTCTTCATTAAAACATAAATTCTGAGGTCAGCAAAGGTTAGAAAGTTATTTAAACAAAAACAAAATTAATCTACAACTTGGCTTTTCTGTACATATTAGGAGAGAAATAACAGAAGGAACAAACTAGCAAACTTTCAGTCAAATGAAGGATATCACCTAGTATAAAGTATAAGAGTTCTGGAAAAAACAAAAACAAAGGAGACACTACTGTGTATTTGGAATATGTAACGCATAACCTCTAGATCAGCAGTCCCCAATCTTTATGGCACCAGGGATAAGTTTCATGGAAGACAATTTTTCCACAGATGTGGGTCGGAGGGGGGTGTGGTGGTAGAGGCGGAGCTCAGGCAGTGATGTGAGTAATGGGGAGTGGCTGTAAACACAGATGAAGCTTTACCCACCAGCTGCTGGTCACCTCCTGCTGTGTGTCCCCATTTTCCTAAGTTTCATGGAAGACAATTTTTCCATGGGGGTGGGAGGGTATGGCATGGAGCTCTATAGCCTGGTCTGTGGCCCATGGGTTGGGGCCCACAGCCCTAGATTCTAGTAGTTTAGGTGGCATGAGACAGGAAAGCCAAAGATGAAAGACATTATCTAGAACCCTGGGAAATAGGACTGACTTCTGCTCTGATTCCCTAGGTAACGTCCTTCAACCATCCCACTGTGGAGAGCTAGAGAAGCAGCTTAAAGACACCCTGGAATTAACAAAAGAATTTCAAGTCCAGAGAGGTGAGCCTATAGGCCCTCTTTTCCTGGCAGAAGCAACATAAATTCTTGCTGGAGGAAGTTATCCTCATCCTTGGCTTCATTCAAATTTTATCTACAAAGAATTTTATAAATAGAATTTCCAGTACATTTAATTTCCAGTTAAAATAACTAGGCAAACAAAGACACAAACGAGAAATAATAAATAGAATCCATAAACATCCCATCAGACATAGATTTCTACTAAACATTTATGGAGCAAATTACCTCAACCGTAAAACTCTGTCAGAGAAAAAGATAAAAAAAAAAAATCTTAGTACTCTCAACTTGTTTTTTAGCCTAGCATATCTTGATACCTAAATTTGACAGGGACATCTGATGAAAGGAAAATTAAATATGAAAAACACAAAACAAAATAATGGCAAATTGAATTCTACCAAGTTAGATTTATTTTAAGAAAAACTTGTTTAACATCTGAAACATTAATGTAACTCAACATAACAAACTAAAGAAGTCAGATCATAACCTTATCAGAAGTGGAAAAGGTAATTTGATAAAATTGATTATCTGCCCATATATAATAAAAATCTCTTAGTAAACTAAGGACGCCCTTAATTTGATAAGGGCTTCTACAAAAAAATACTCAGCAAATTTTATACTCAATGATGACCTGTTGAAAGCTTTCCCTTTGAGAAGAACAAGACAAGATTTGCACTCTATCACACTACTTCTGTTCAACATTGTACTAAGGGTCCTAGAGCACTGGAAAGGAATAAATAAAATTATTATTTAAAGTTGTGACTGTGTATGCAGAAAAAAAAATCTACATACAGTTATTAGAATAAGGGTGTTTAACAGAATTAATGATTACAAGGTCAATATTCAAAAACCAATTTCTTTTCTATATTAATCAGACTCACAAGAAAATGAAAAACTTAAAAGTTAGAGTAGAATCCAAAAATGTCATTAACTTAGAAATAAATCTAAAAAAAGATGCATAAGATCCCTACACAGAAAACTCTTACAATACTGAGAGAGATTAAATACTCAAATAAATAGAGGAATAGATGATGTCCTTGTTTGCTAAGACTTAATACTGTAAAGATGTCAGTTCTCCCCAAATTGATGTACAGAGTCCATGCCATCACAATCCAAATCCAAGATTCTAAAATGTACTTGGAAACCCAAAGCACAAAGAAGGGTCAAGAACTCTTTTTTTTTTTTTTTTTTTTGAGACAGAGTCTCACTCTGTTGCCCAGGCTAGAGTGAGTGCCATGGCGTCAGCCTAGCTCACAGCAACCTCAATCTCCTGGGCTCAAGCGATCCTGCTGCCTCAGCCTCCCAAGTAGCTGGGACTCCAGGCATGCGCCACCATGCCCGGCTAATTTTTTCTATATATATTAGCTGGCCAATTAATTTCTTTCTATTTATAGTAGAGATGGTGTCTTGCTCTTGCTCAGGCTGGTTTCGAACTCCTGACCTCGAGCAATACACCCACCTCGGCCTCCCAGAGTGCTAGGATAACAGGCGCGATCCACCGCACCCGGCCAGTCAAGACACTCTTGAAAAAGATTGAAAAGGATTGATTAGTTCTTCCAGATACCAAGTTTTTTTTTTTTTTTTTACAAAGTTAGAGTAAGGCAGTGTGGAACCCACTCAGGATAGAAATATAGACCAATAGAACAAAGCCTAGAAACAGACACACAAATCTACTGACATTTGACCTATGACAAAGACTGCATAACATAGAAGAAAAAAGGATGAATTTTTCTATGAACAGTTCTTGGTCAAGGGTCAACTGGATCTACATATGTAAAACCTTTGACTCCAACCTCACCACACATATACAAAATGAACTGCAGATGGATTATAGATGAAATGTGAAAGATAAAACAATAAACTTTTAAAAAATGTATGTTCATGATCCCAGAGTAGAGACTTGTTAGGTAAAAACCAATAATCTTTGAGACTGATACACTTTATTACATTAAAATTAAGGATTTCTGTATATCAAGATACTAAAAAAAGATGAAAATATAGACATGTGCAATATACAACTGATAAAGGACTCAGATAAGGAGTGCACAGTAAGTGTATAATGATATACAATCTAACAGAAAAACAGGCACCAAAATTTATGAGAGAGACCATCTAAATGGGCAAAAATATGAAAAAGTGCTTACAAATTCAATGATACTTACGGAAATGCAAATTAAAATCACAAACTACAATGACTACATACCTACCAGCACGGTTAGAATAAAAGACCGATAATATTAGGTTATTAAGAATGAAATGGCAGATTTCCTGAACACATTTGACTGCCACACTAGGAAAAATATTTTTTTCTTTGGGACCACAGTGTTTTATTACAAAAATAGAATAAAAATTTCAAAAACAAAACAATCCTTTCTAATCTAATGAAAAATTTATTTTTTATTGTTTTCTGTGTTAATTATATGCAATTTGAAAAAAACAGTTTTTGCAGCTCCCGAGGTGAAAAGACGTGTAAGTTACATATGCTTCATGAGGCCCCAGCCTCAAAACTAGCATGAATTAAATGCAATTCACATGGCAGTTAATGTGTTAAGTACTAAATTTGACAGGTGATATCTCTGACATTTCACTTTGACACTTCTTGTTTCCTTTTTTTATTGTGAAGGTACATCTTCATTCTTTCAACTGCAGGTTTTGGCTTGTGATTATCTTTCAATTTTTTTTACAGCAATTTTTGTGAAACCATGTATAAGTCAAAAATTAGTGTTTTTGCTGAGTACAAGTTCCATTGTGGAACCAATGCAGCCCAGACAGCTTGAAATGTCAATGAAGTGTTTAGGAAGTATATTGCTAACGAATGCACAGTACATGGATGCTTTGAGAAGTTTCATTCTGGTGATTTTAATCTTGAAATGAGCCACGGGGCTGACCTAACACCAAGGTGGATAATGATATGCTGAAAGCTGTAGTAGAAGCAAACCCATCTCAACCTACACATGAATTAGCAGCAAGCAAGGTTTGACGTTACCATTCCACCCATATTGGAACACTCAAAACAAATTGGCAAGGTAAAGATGCTGGATAGTTGGGTTTCGCATAAATTAACCCTTTGCATTTGCTTGTTTTTTTCTCGATTCCTTTATTCTACTCAGGATTTAATTTTTTAAATACCCCAGAATAATAAATACTGGAGTTTCTTTTCATACAAACTTATTTATTTAGATTTTTTATATTTCAAATTATTGATACATTCAAAGAGTAATTTTAATCTCTATAATTTTTCATGGATGAGCTGTTACCAATGCTAACCGTGTCGACTAACACTCAACATCCGAGTGCAAAGGGTTAAACGAGTGTCAAAAGAGAAATTGTCTCAAAGCTTGCCCTTCTTTGCTGTCACAACACAAAGGTGAACTATTTCTACACTGTATTATTACATGTGATGAAAAATGGATTCTTTTTAACAATTGCAAGTGTTAGGCACAATAGTTGGATAAAGTGCTGAAACATAGTCCCAAACCGAATATTCATCAAAAAATCTAATGGTGTCTGTTTGGTGGTCTAGCACTGGTACTACGCACTACAGCTTCATGAAACCCGGTCAATTGATTATAGTGGATGTCTACTGCAACGAATTGGATGAAATGAGGAAGATGCTTGCAATTAAACAGATTTGACAATAGAGACAGGTTAACCTTCTTGCAAGGCAATGCTGTTGCGTGAACAACGTTGCTCAAACTACAAAAGCTGGACTTGGAAACTCTCTGTCATCCACCATATTCACCAGACCTCGCACCATCTGACTACCACTTCTTCCAGGCTTTGGACCACTTCTTGCAAGGAAAAATATTCAATTCTCAACAAGCTATGGAAAATGCCTTTCACAATTTCAGCACCATGTGCTCTCCAGGCTTCTTCACTGCTGGTTGACACAAGTTACTGGTAAAGGTAGCAAAACTGTGTTGATAGTTCAGGTGCATACTTTGATTCACTGTACTACTTCTTGTCTGAGATATAACAAACTAAACTTTTAATTCCAAATCGGACATTTCAGATTTAATGAACTAATACCAAGTGTTGGTGAAGCTACAGAGCAATAGGAACTTTCATGCACCACTGGCAGGAGGGTAAGCAGTTTGGCAACTTTGGAAAACTGTTGGGCATTATCCACCACACTTGATCATACATATATACCTGACATCTGAGTGCACCAGGAAACACTGACTATTGAAGAATATTCATATCAGTATTGTATGTAATAACCCCAAATTGGAAGTTAACAAAAATGTCTTTCTGTACTCATAAAATAAAATATGGCAAAAAAAAAAGTAATGAAAACAAATCTCACAATGTTAAGCGAAAAAAATCCAGAGCCCTGCTCCCCTGACCAAAGGAAAAAAAAAACACCCACATTATGTATGAATTCATGTAAAGTTCCCAAAATGGGCAAAATTAAATTGAACTCTTTATAGAGATGTATACTTTATATGGTAAAACCATTAATAAAAAAACAAGCAAGAGATTATCATTAAAGTCACAACAGACGTTATCTTTGGGAGTAAAGGACAATGGAGTAACTGGAACAGGGTATGGTATGAGGGGACTTTTAGCATACTGGGAATATTCTTACTTCTTAACATAAGTATTACATGGTGTTTAATTTGTGATAAATCATGAAACTGCACATTTTTGTTTTGCTCCCTTTTTCTAGATGCTCAGGCTATTAATATATTTCACAATAAAAACATATTTTTAAAATGTGGGCCTTAGACCCCACCATTGGCAAGTGTTTGATGACCTTTTCATGATTGTGTTGCCTATAAAAGGCTAAGACTGGCTTTTTTATTCAGTTGGGAGAGAGGAAGTCATCCCACTCAGGCTTCCAAGTTCAGTTGAGTCCCGTGGTTGTCCATCTCTACCATAAGTAAGTTGATTCTCTGATCACTACCTAGGTCTCCACAACCATATTCTATGAGCTAAAAGCCTAGAGGGGAAAAGAGATCAACAGTAAAACCTCACTACTTCCTAAAACACCAGTAACTTCATTAAATCTAATCCAAACTCCCACAGAGATAGGTAGATAATTTATAATGCTTTTTCATTTAAATAGATTATGTTAAAAGTTATTACAATATTTCAATATGACCAAATTCTCCAAGATTATCTGCAAGGATGGCCCCCCAAAACATGTATAATATATAAAACGTGTCTTTTGCATCCTCTAACCCAGACTAACCAACAGAACCTATAGCAATGACAGAAATGTTCTATTTCTGCACTAATACAGTAGCCACTAGTGCCTACAGAGCTTGTGAAATCTGTGAGTGCAATGGGATACTAAAGTTCCAATTTAATTCAAAATTTAAATTGCCACACAGGGCTCTAGTGGCATGTATACTGGACAACACTGTTCTAACTCCTTGCACCTTTTTCCCCACACTGAACAATAACCAGCAGCTAGTCCTGTGCCTCTCTCAACATGGTCTTGTGCAGATATGGCTGAATACTAAGTGGTCACTTAAGATACTGGAATTGGTTTTTTAAAACACTGACTTCATTAAAAGGAACTAATGAAATCAGAAAATCTTGTTCTAAGAAAACAAGTTGTACTAGTAAAATGACAGATGGAAGAATACAGTATTTTGGAGAAAAGCCACCTGTTACTGTTCCTTCAAAAAAATACATGAGTTGCCTTTATAAGATGACCATACTTAGACCATTAAGTTACTTGGACTTGACAAAAGCTCTAAAATACCATGGTAATCAGGAAGAGTGGAATAAACTAATCAAGTTCATTTTAAGAAAACATATGAAGATCAGTAATTTAAAATTTTCAAAATATTATGTAATTTTAAATCAGGACTGCAATGAAAGAAAACTGCAGAAAGAGCCTAGTCATATAAGAATATTACAAAGCTATCAATATATAACTTTCTAAAGCATATCTCATATCCTAAGCTGACAGCCAAATGGTGAACCAAATTTGGCACTGCACACTCACTGGACTACTTTGCAGTAATGAGAATTTTACAATTAACTGGTTTACATGTTCTAACACTCAAAATTTGTCAGAATAAAAAAAAAAAATCAAATTTACCAGTTCCATCAGGTGTCTTATGGAGAGCAACACTGCCTCACTTGATGGTGGATCCATTAACCTACTCAGAAAATAAGCAATTCCACCTAGCCTTAAAATCTGAAGGGGTGAGGGGAGAGAAAAATATAATTAAACATACATCATATATTGACGTAATAATTTAGTTCTACTTGTGTTGAACACTCAAAGCATCAAAGTTATATGTAATTTTCAAGTTATTTTAACAAAATGAATTAAAATTATACTTATAAGTCTATAAAAATATGTTTAAAGGCCTACATACTACTTTCTACCAGCAACTCTATTAAATTTCTATTAAGAAAAGTAGCTGGCTAAAATCTCAACAAACATGTTGCTTACCAATTATCTTTAACATAAGATATCAAAAGATATAAGATGCTGAAAAAATGGTAAGTAGTTAGGGTAACATTTTAAGATGTAATAACAGTAGTTAACATTTACTGAGCACTTACCATGTGCCAGGTACCATTCAAGAATTTTATGAGGTTAACTTAAGTAACCTGCCCAATGCAACAGAACTAGCTTTTGAGAGTAGGTGGGATTCACACAGACAGCCTGGCTTCTCCAGATCAGTACATAATTACAAACTGTTTGATACACTTTTGAAGGAAGTTTAACACATTGACTGCCACACTAGAAAAAAATATTTTCTTTGAGGCCACAATATTTTATTATGAAAACAGAATAAAAACTTTGAAAACAAAACAATCCTTTAGAATTTAATGAAAATGAAATTTATTGACTTCTATTCACTTACTCCATGTTTTTAGAATGAATTTGTCAGTATTAACTGTAACATTAAGAACATCGACAAGTAAGATCTTCATGAACCAATTGCAGGGTTTTGCCCAGGTTTTGCTTCATGAAGCCCTGGACTCAAAACTAACGTGAGTTAAATATAACTCATATGAACGTTAATGTGTTAAATACACAATTTATTAACATACATGCAAAACAAATGTACAGTAATAATTCTGTCTCACAGATTAATACAGTACTTTCTTCTATAAAAGATGTTAAAACTTAAAACATCACCCCCATTTAGTTTCTTAATTCTCCCACTTAATTTACCTTTATTTGTAAACAAAGCTCTTCCAAAGGAGTCCTTAAAATTTCTGGCAGTTGATAGTCATCTAGAAGACTTGCTCTAAGACCATTATAAAGATGATAGCAATGACCAGGCTGAACTCTTTTTAAAAAAAAAGTTAGAGGGGAGTTATCAATAATGTTTTAGAACTCCAAAGAAAATAATAGGCAGGCAAAGTAGTCAATATCTATTTCTTACAAGCCACATTATAACTAGTTTACATAATTATTACTTTATTTTTATGAATCATACATTCTGTCTCTCCATCTGTTTGGAAAAACCTTAAACCTTCTATCCCCATGTCCCAGTTTTAAGAAGAAATATAAGACTTCCTCCCTCTGCCAATAATTTGGTCCCTATCTCTGACAGATTTCAGATTACTGTGCTCGGCAACAGCAGTCTACTTAGGTTAAGGCTATGAGTTGTAACCTCAAATATGCCTTGTGATCATATTATATAACATATCCTGGTATTATGTTAACCTGTCTACATTATTGAAAAACATTTTGAAATACTGTACATTCTATTTAGTGAGCTGTCAGAGGTGTATTAAAACTTTTTGTTTTATATTTGCAACTAGTGACATGAATGATATCATTTTGAGGGCAATGATAAGGAAAGATGTGAAGAAGTAACTACTAATATATTCAACATATTTTCAAGAAGAAGAAATATTTCTATAGACTCTTGCTGCCACAGGAATAAAAATTCTAAAAATCTTAGCTATTTCTGCTATGAGTCTACAAAGATCCATCATCTATAATATAACATGGCTGAACACCTCTTTAGTTAGAAACTAAAATAAGAGTGCTTCCAATAAGAACCATATAGTAGTGCTCTTTCTGGCCTCCAAAATAACCATTAACCTAATTAGTCTTTGCTAAAGGAATTTATATCCATGAACCCTACAAAAAATTATTTTCCTTTTAAATTAAAACACCATAATTCTAATTAATCTCCACCATAGTAGAGAGGATGAATGATTCATTAAAATGTAATACTCTATTTGTATTATTTCTCTAATTGTTTTATGGATCAAATTTAAGGTCTAGTGTCTTTACTACTCATATATAAAGGTATGCCAAAACTTGTTTACTACAGTGAATATATTTTGAATCAGTATTCAGTGATGATGGGTCTACACAGGAAAATCCCAGTCTTGCTGGATCCCCTATTGAATTATTCCCTGATAATCAATAAGGAGAATATACTTCTTTGACTAAACCATATTTTGGTTCAAAAGCATCAACTGTGTAATCTAAAAAATTGCCCAGAAATCAAGTTATGCTGGGATAATCTGCAAACACTATAGCCAGTAAGTCAGAGTTTTACAGATATCATACAAACTTAAAACAAAGGATTGATATAAAATGGTCTATTAAGTTTTCTTTCAATTCTCCTTTTCTTACCTAAATAAGTCTATATCTGAAGATTAATGGGAATCTCTTGTTCTATGTGTAAGAGGCAAAAGAAAAACTCTCTTCTGCAACTCCAGACATGATTCCATCACTCATATAAGAGTGTAAAAATACTGTGATGTATGCATTAAAATACAGAAATCAGTAATTATTTGTAAAAGTTCAAGACATGGCTGGGTGTGGTGGTTCATGGCTCACGCCCGTAATCCTAGCACTCTGGGGGTTGAGGCAGGAGGACTGCTCGAGCTCAGGAGTTTGAGACCAGCCTGAGCAAGACCACAACCCCATCTCTACTAAAAATAGAAAGAAATTAGCGGAGCAACTAAAAATATATAGAAAAAATTATCTGGGCATGGTGGCACATGCCTGTAGCCCCAGCTACTCAGGAGGCTGAGGCAGGGGGATCGCTCGAGCCCAAGGGTTAGATTGCTATGAGCTAGGTTGATGCCATAGTACTCTAGACCAGGCAACAGAGTGAGACTCCATCTCAAAAAAAAAAAAAAAAAAGTTCAAGACAAATCATTTTTCTTACCATTAAGACAGATAAATTTTTATTTCTTGTGCTGCTACCACATCAATGGGAAAATATGACTTCCTTTGTGTTTTATTGGTAACTAATGGTAAGAAATGGATCCTGCTATAAAGTACAGTGAAAAGGAGCCTGGGCTGAAGAGCCAGACTGCCTGGATTCAAATCCTGGCTCTGCTATTTACAAAACTGTGTGACTGTGACTTTGGACAATTCATTTAATTTCTTTGTATTTTAATTTCCTTACCCTTAAAATGGAGAAAATAACCTACCTTGTAGCATTGTGGTGAGGATTAAGCAAGTTAACATATACAAAGTGTTCAGGACATGACCTGACACTCAAATAGTATTAACTGTTATTATTATTAGGTAATAAGGAAACAGATATAAAATTACAAGTAATATAACTAGCAAGAATAAAAGTATTAATTTTAATTAACCAGACTTAAGAACTGGAGGTAAAAAAAAAAATCATAAAATAGAAAACTTGGCTGATACTTTTCCAAATAAACTATGATTGAAACAATTTTCCTTTTTAAAAATATTCCACATGAAGTTCAAAATAATATCTTCTAATAAATATTTTTTTTTTTTTTGAGACAGAGTCTCGCTTTGTAGTCCAGGCTAGAGTGAGTGCCGTGGCGTCAGGCTAGCTCACAGCAACCTCAAACTCCTGGGCTCGAGCGATCCTCCTGCCTCAGCCTCCCGAGTAGCTGGGACTACAGGCATGCGCCGCCACCATGCCCGGCTAATTTTTTTTATATACATATCAGTTGGCCAATTAATTTCTTTCTATTTATAGTAGAGACGGGGTCTCGCTCTTGCTCAGGCTGGTTTTGAACTCCTGACCTTGAGCAATCCGCCCGCCTCGGCCTCCCAGAGAGCTAGGATTACAGGCGTGAGCCACCACGCCCGGCCTCTAATAAATATTTTTAAATGCCACCAAAACATTTTGTTACACAAAATTTTTTTGTGTTCTAAAGACTTTGGACAAAGCTCCCACTTACCTTCCAGCTCGACCTTTCCTCTGTTTGGCATTAGCTTTACTAACCCACTCAGCAGACATTGTACTGATGTTGTTCTGAGTGTCAAAGTGTGTCTCTTTTATTTTTCCTCCATCTATTACATAAACTACATCATCTATGGTAATGCTGTTTGGAAAACAGATATACAAAATGTTAAAAAAAAAAACACATCAAAAGCACTATTATCCTATAACACTATAGGATAATAGCACTATATCCTACAGTTCGGGATTTCAGAGCATTTTTCTCACATCAAATTGATTTTAACCATTCAGAATTTTTCACCACTCTTCCCACATTTACCAACGTTATAGGAATCAAGCCTAATAGTAGGCAGCACCAGTAGCTATAATGACAGCACAGTGCCACTTAATGTGAATCACATGCTAAATTCTTATTTGCCCACACAACCAAATTTCACAGCTTGCCTGATGCCTAGCTCCATAGGTCCCCCAGTGCCATGGTTTAATATCGGTTTCCATAAAACAATCTGTTTCAGTGACTGAACTGTATATTAGTACCTCCAAAGAAATACAAGAAATTTTAAAAGCTGGATATAACTAATTACCAAATAATATCACCCCTAACCAGAAACAGACAAAAAAGACAAAATGGACCACAGCTCCCATGATTCTTCAGGAAAGCTTTGAAAAAATCCACTCAAAAGGCTACTTCTAAAGAAGGCTAAAACAGTGTACAGGTTTAAAAAAAAAAACACAAAACCATGCTTACTACTATGACTAGTTTTAAGAAAAAGCTTTATTTTTTAAGAAATGACAAAATATCTTATAGGGAAAAAACATGATAGTATATTAATATTGTATAATTCTCAAAAATTATGCAATCATCAGTAATTGATACTTAAAATTATTTTTACCTAGTCTCAGCAATGTTGGTAGCAATTACTATTTTCCGAACACCAGGAGGGGTTTTTTTAAATACCTGTAAGAATAAATACATCAAAATCCCAAAAGTATACAAATTTCTGATATATCATTTTTGCAATTAGAGGCATTACTTCATATACTGTTCATTTTTAGCATTCTGTGTTCATTCACTGACATATATTTATAGATATATTTATAGTATACATCATTTCCAATACTACAAAATTCTCTTTTGGTAAACCAAACTATATCTCCTACAGATGTCATAATCTTATCACAAACAAAATTTCAAATGAAATATCATTATTTAAATTTATAGCATGTCTTTTAATAAAAGCTGGAGGGTATAAAGTAGAGGGAAAGAAAGTTACTTTAAGGATAAGAATCAGGCCAAACCTACAAGGGGTAAGGACACTAGTCAATAAGGCAGAAGCCCAACCCAACACAATGGATGCTAGCTGACTATACCACTATTTACTAGCTTGAGATCAAAGAAGTGGAAAAAAAAAAAAAAACACCTTTCAAATGCTGAATCCTACCAACAATACTGCTCCCACAGCCCTATCCCTACAATACCACTGAAGTAGAAGGAAGAAAGGCAGTCAAGTCAAGTACTACTGGCTACAATGCAAAAATAATGCATCAACTTATCTCTTTATTTATAAAAATGGGAAGTAATAAAGCAAATGTTTCGCAGGCTATTCACATATTCTCTAGCAGAGGAATACATTAATTTACTAGGTTATGGTGTCAAAGATGGAAGTATGTCTACATTGGATACTCTTTGGAATTAAGAGATTCTTTCTTCCCCCAGGTATGTACTCTCTGTATCTAATTCAGTTGGCTGAGTCTTATTCAGGTGCCAGCAAAAAGGATATTGAAAGGATCCCAGTAAAAAATATATTGACATTTTCTTACAAAAAGAGGAGTAGAGAAACTATAAAGGAAGAGAGGCAGATTTTCTCACCAATTTCATTCTACCAAGGCCTGCAAACACTGTGGTTCATAAAATTATCTTGCCCCTGAGAATGCAGTGTTCATTCTAATTAGGTAAGTGCCTGTTTCTGACAGAACCAAAACATTTGTAATGCATTATTAATTAAACAGGAAATCTCATACCAGTAAAAAAAAAAAATAAATAAAATACTAATTTGATTAAATTAAAATCACAAACATCAAGCTGTAGTATGTCACAGGTAATTAATTTCTAGGCTGAGTTATTTTTAGTGGTATTCACATACCTTTTTCTTTTATTCAGGAAACCAAAGCAAGTTATTGGTGAAACCAATTCTTTAAACTTTTCCCTAACGTTGACAAAACTAATTTGATTTGTGGATTACCCTCTGTTATTCAAGTTTTTGTGCAATCATCCCCTGAAGACTCATTTGCAAAGGTTCGCAAGGAAGTATTTTTTTATATGGATTACTATTTGAAAATGCTCCTTAAAAAAATAAAAGAAAATAAACAATAAGCAGTCCTTAAAGCTTGCCTCTGTTTGAAAGATAGAAAAGGATACATTTAACAACATACCTGTGTCTGATTAACTGTAGGCATCAGCGAATGTAACGGTATAATTAGAAACTTATCTGAAAATTAAAAGAAAATTAAACTTTAAGATAAAGAATTGCTGAAAAACTTCATCAAACATATATGAGACAATTAATTCAAATACTGAGGGACATTATTTTAAATTTATATTTCTAAATATAAATTTTTATTTCTAATAAATCATTTTTTATATTCTTGTTTTCTGAGTGCTCCAACAAGTTCAAACTGACATTTTATTCTGTTAATTTATTTCATATTGATAAGCATTTTACCCAAATTCTTAATAATGGTCATAAGTTGGGAGTAATCTTTTCAAATTACACCAGTAAAAGATCATTAATTCTATCCCCACTGGTAAAATGAAGAGCCAAGAATTTTGCTTAATATGAATGTAAATTTGTAGATGTTGGGTGATCCTCACTATTTCAATCATGCAGACTATTAATATCTGAATTTTTAGAGCAAATTACTTATTAAATATTCACGTCCTACTTAGAAAATAATAAAATAGTCTAGGTTAAAAATATTTAATAACACATTCCAAAGTGACACACATTTTTAAACACAATTTTTTATAAATATACGAAATTATATGCCTACTTTTTAAGTTTCAAAATGAAATAGTTCACCCATTCATGATTATTAGCCAACAGATAAAGTTTGGTGTAGTACAGAGATGGAAAAGAGGGAGAATGTTAAGAAATCAAGGACTAATTTCATGTTTAACTATGGTTAACAAAAATGCAACTTTACTTAAATCTCTAATAATGGTGTCCAAATGGCTCAAGACAGCTATATTTCCCCAGAAAAGAACTATTATCCAAAGGAGATACGATGCTCTCCATAGACTTTTATGACTCTCTGAAAAGATTTTATGAATCTTAAAAAGTAATAAAAAGTAGTGAACAAGCAATGTATGTTGCTAAAAAAAAAAATGCTCTGAATTACTTGACTATGTGACAATATGAATATATCAACTATAAAATACTCAAGCCAAAAATACTTAACTTGAATTGAATCAAGCATATAGATATAACTTCCAGGTTACAGGAAATACGGGTAAAAGAGAATCAAACGGAAGGACATCACAGAGACAGATAAATCCAGAAGTTGGACTTACAGGGCAACTGGCCTGGTCTTTTCCACAAGTCTATTACCATGGGGAAAAGGGAGTGGAGGGGAATAATATTCTAAAGCTAGATTAAAAGATTCACCTGGCTTATATTTTCTGTAGTTTGAACAAGCTAGCTGTAAAAGACACTTTTGGAAAAAAATAGGAAAATCTAATTATAGTCTGGATTATTAAATGATATTAAGAATAGGTATGACAATGGAATTATGGTTATACAGAAAATTGTCTTTTTTTTTTTACAAATGCATGCTTATATATTTAGAGATAAAATATGATAGCTACAATTTACTTTAAAAAGGAAATAACTAGACTGAAAAAGTAACTCTTTCCCTGAAGTCATGGGTATATGGTATTCATTATGATTCTCTAGTTTTCTGTATGTTTAAAATGTTTTGTTACAAAAAGCTTATAAAGTTAAGCAGCCAGGGATAATGAAAGTGAAAACAATTCTGTTGAGGAGAATATAATTGGGAAAAAAAAATCTATATTGCTGACACTGCATTAAAAATGGAGTCCATACAAAGTCTATACTCTTACGAGAAGAAATACATAAGAGGGTGATAAGCATTCAATAAACTATCATTCAAAATTTACTTCTCATCAGCATGGAGTTAGGCCAATTTTCTCTCTTCCTACAGTAGCTAGGTACATAACTATTAAGACTAAATGTTTTTCTATATAATTTACTCGAGAAAAAAAATTCTTGTTAAGTTTTGGATAAATTTCCTTCAAAAGGAATTGAGCTGGTGGTAAATGTAAAAAATGATACCTCTTTCCTTGGAGTAATTAATTCAAATTAGAGTTATGAAGTCAATTACAGCAATCTATAATACCCCATCCTTTTCCCACTGTCCACCCCACACATTAAATATAACAATAATGTCACACTTTGGCATATATCTTAATTTAATATTAGTCATTAAATACACACTCTTATTTTTTAAAACTGTAAGTACACTGGATAGTAATGTTATGATGGGGGAAGAGAGGTCTAAGTTAGAAGATTCAGCTAAAAAATTTCTAGTTGACTAAAAAAAAATTCAGCTGTATAATCATCACTGTATTTTTCTATAAAGCTATTGAAAACAGAGAAAAGAAAATTTCTTTATAAAGAAGTCATATTAATTAGCTCAAAAATTTTCACAGCTAGATAGGAAATAATTTTAATCATAGAGAATGCCTTAAGGGCATTACAATAGAGTTTAAAAAGAATAAAAATACACCTTTACTATTTCAGCCAATACAATTAAATCAAAATATTTTCTAGTGCCTTGTAAAGATTAAATGTGTCAAAAGCACTTCAACAGAGTGAGGTTAGCAACTATTTTCAGAACTATAATATACTAAATAGAATTTGCTTTGTATTTTATCTACTTGAAGTTAATAATGATTTCTGAAAATGCTTTGACTAAATTTTACAGGAGAAAAATGTCCTCATGCACTTCTCTAAGTTATGAGATTTTATGTCTTTTAAACCATGCTCTTGAATCAAAATCACCTGAGGAATTTAAAAAAAACTTCAGATGTCTGGGTCACATTCTTAGGTTTGGAGCAATGATGGAGTCTAGGTACCCGAATTTTAAAGAAGCTCCGTGGGTGACTCTATTGCATAGTAAGAGCTCAGAAACACTGGGCTAAGGGATAAATTCATTCTTTTCAGCAGCAGTGAGTGAAAAAATAAAAAAAACTCCAAATGCCAACATTTTTACTTTAAGGGCCAAATTTATTAAGCTAATCTGCTTAAGTGAAAGTGGTAAAATATTTTCTTCATAATACTAAATAAATAACTAGCTTTACTACAAATCCACCACCTTCATCTGTGACCCAGAACTTTAGAGAAGACTTTTCAAAAACCTCAATCTTGGCTTAGATTACCAAATTCTTAACACTGAGGTAGCCTCAGAAGCAACACTTTTTCAAATGAAAGGGGAAAAAAAACATGCTACATAATGATTCAAATATCACTTATGGCATTGCAATACAATATATTTATATAATACCTGATTTAAACATCACTTGTGACATCAAAAGATCATGTAAAGTGCTGATATTGTCCCAGCCTGGTAGAAAGACCAGTATTGCACCATCCTATACAAAGAAGAAATGACCATTACAAAGGATCACACTAATAAAACACAATAACAGTAAAACTGTTTAAACACTTAAGTGTTCATTAAAATTATACTAGCTCACGATATTTTAATTAACAATTAAAAGAACATAAGCATATTTTCTAAAAATAAGTTTTATAATCCATATATTTATTTGTTTAGTCTTTTCTTCAAACAGGTCAAATGCCTAAATATTTTACTATTTTGAGATTCTTATTTCTAGTGTCCAAGCAATTTCTTCCATGGTCTATTTTTAAAAGCATTTAGGAAAATTATTTTCTTCATGGCCTTCATACATTAACAAAATTAAAATTATGTTACTTTAAAATAAAACTAACCTCTTCTTCCAAAACAATATATCGGATAAGAGCAGCAATCAAATTCAGATCAACTTTATCATCATCCATCATTTCTAGAACATCTACAGTACTTGCAGAATACCTATCAAAGTTAAACAGAAGTCATAAAATACTTGATAAAGTTTCCTGTGACTTAATTTGCTATAAAAGCTTAAAATTAACTCAATCTGCAGATGGAGGAAAATAATCTAAGATAGGGGAGAATTACTGGGACAACAGTGCTTAAAAATCAAATCAGCATAGTATTTAAGCTGGAATAGAGATTCACAAGATATTACTTTCAGTGTGTACAAATTCAAGAAGACAACCCCCCCAACTGCCTTTTTAGTCATTTAGCTGCTGTGTTCTCGCCTTCAAACAAAATAAATTTACCTTCTTCGTAGTTCCCTTACATAATCTGGCCAGCGTTCTTTATAGATTGCTTCTTTTTCTTCTTTTTCTTGCCGATTTACATGCCCTTGCATGAAACCCCTCTTAAACTGGGATCTCTGTTCTTTTTGGTCTGGAACATATCTAAAATAAAAGTGTCCTTAAATACTTATACTTTTAAAACCTTTTGATTTTAGCTAGTATCTGTGACTTCTTACATTTTAAGATTTTCAAAAGGATTTAAAGAACATTTTCATTGTACTTTCAAGTGCATGTTAGTTAAAACATCAGTTTATTTCTAAGTGTTCACAATATATAAAACCTGACATTTCAGATAAAAATCATTTTTCTCCACTGAAGTATATAAACATTAGACCATATTTAGTAAAAAAAAAATTAGAGTAACTTTAACCTTCAATTTTAAGTTTGCTCTAAAACAAAAGTTAACATTAACATAAGTACAAAGTTACAGTTAATGACTGCCTAGTTCAAAGATTCAAATTTTTAAAAAGAAGTTTTCCAAACCTGACTGCATAAAGGAATCCCCTGGGGAGCTTGAAAACCCAGATTCCTAAATCCTACCCCCTGTGATTTAGATTCAGTAGGTCTGCCTGGGATGTGTTAATCTAAGAATTTTAATTAGTGCCCCAGGAGATTCAGATAGTGTATCCACAGACCTACAGATCCATGCTAGAGAACTATTTAATTCTGCTCACACAGTTATAACTAATGGCAGATCAAGAATCAGCATTCAAGTGTCCTGTGCATCAATCCAGTGCTATATTATGATTCCACTATTCCACAGTGATTGCTAAAAACACAGAGGCTACACCTGCCCATCTACCTACCACTGTGAGTTCTTAGAGGCATGGAGGAGTGGAGAAAGACAAAGAAAAACGAACCTACACTTTAACCCCAAAGCCTCTCTGAGTTCACCTACAGGATAGCATACAGATGGAATGAGGGTGGAGGCGGCAGAGCATGGGCTTTGGAGTCAGACAGAAATATTGTCCTTTATTAAAAGGATCTGTTCTGTAAAATTTGGATTCAATCAAAAGGCCACACTCAAGGATCCAGACGGCCACAGGTTCCCCACCCAACTATATGGCCTTTAGTTTTCTTATTTGAGAGATTAATATCCTTATAACAGTATTGGTGTGAGAATTTTAAAAAATGTGATAAAGGGCTGGGCGTGGTGGCTCACGCCTGTAATCCTAGCACTTTGGGAGGCCGAGGCGGGCGGATTGCTCAAGGTCAGGAGTTCGAAACCAGCCTGAGCGAGACCCCGTCTCTACCAAAAATAGAAATAAATTAATTGACCAACTAAAAATATATATACAAAAACTTAGCCAGGCATGGTGGCGCATGCCTGTAGTCCCAGCTACTCGGGAGGCTGAGGCAGTAGGATCGCTGAGCCCCGGAGATTGAGGTTGCTGTGAGCCAGGCTAATGCCACGACACTCACTCTAGCCTAGGCAACAAAGTGAGACTCTGTCTCAAAAAAAAAAAAAAAATGTGATAAAGTAAAGCATAATGTCTGATATAGTAGACAGTGAAAAAGTGTTAATCCCCTGCCCTATTCAGTGCCTGTGACCCAGGATTCCCCTAAGTCTTCGATACATATAGAGGCACCAACTTGAAGTAGGGCAACCTGAGGCAGAGACTGGCCCTAGTCAGCAATATGGACCTAGAGTTGGTTCCCTTTCCAGAAATTCTAAAAACAGAGATAACCTTCAAACCTCCACTCCCATCCCCAATCACTATGCTCAACCAGAACCTTCCATATCACCTTGTCCTACTCTCGGTCTCACAACTGTGTTTCCTCCTTCCTACTTCCCTGTTGCGCAGCTCTTTTTCTGGGAAGTGATACCCGGGGGCTTCTGATGAAAATGTCTAACCAACAACCACCCTGCTCCTACTGTCCTCTTAGAGCTGGTTAGGGGATGGCAAATACACAGACATCATCTTTTTGCTTCAAGAGACCCCTCAGCTACATGCCCTGCCTTCTAGGGAGCTTAACAAAGCAATTCATCATCATGTAACTTTAGCTTACTGATCCCCAAAACTTTGTTTTCTTAATTGTCAACCTGTTGTCTAATATTCTCTTAGAAAGCAAATGCTAAATGTGCCATGGGATGGCACATTTATGAAATGGGAGACATGGTAAAAAGTGGAATTGAGAAGAGAGTATGCAGAAAATTTATGGCCACTGATGATAAAACCAGGGCATAGAAAACCATTACATGCTGTCTCTCTCACTTTTAGTAAGTTCTACCCTCTCTGACATACAATTTCCCTACCTACTGACCCTTCACTGCTTTCCTGACTTGTCCAATCTATAACTGATTTATATAATCTCACTTCCGATACACTCCTCAATCCCCCAGACTATGCATGTAATAGCTTATAAGTCTCCTGTCTAGACATAAATTCTGAGGGCATATACCATGTCTTTCTTTGCTTTATGCTCAGACCCTACTACCGTACAAGACGTACAGTAAAGCTTTATAAGTACTGGTTATTTGTATTTGTTCACATTTAGTTTTGTAAGGGAAACAAGGAAAAGAAAATAATGTTAAAAAAAAATACTTGTTAAATAAACGTCCAGTCAAAATTCAGTAGACTTATCCCCATGTAAAATAAGCTATAGGATCTTTGCTCTCACCTCCTGCACTCTCACTTCCTGATTTTCTTGTTTAACAAGTGAGGTATAGAGTCTTGAAAAAATCTCATCACAACTATTTCTACAACTATTCCTTTATTTATTCAGATGTTTACTGTAGGCCAGGCACTGTGCTATGAACAAGACAAAATTCTGGACCTTGAAAAGTTTGAAATCTGTATTTGAAAGAGGCAAATATAAAGAATATAAAGAGATATACCACAAGGTAAATAAGGTAAGCGTTAAGTAAGATAAAAGTGCTATGGGAGTCTAGATGAGAAAGCAACTGAGTTTGTGAGAGGTATCAGAGAAGGCTTAACGGGTAACCAGGCTAGGACTTTTCTTATATAACCAATAGTTTACAGATCAAAGGGTGAATAAGATGACAAACAGGAGTCTTAAAAGAGGAGATAACATGTAACAGCATAAACTCATGCCTGGCACATGAGAGAATGGTACATTTAGCATGAGCAAGTCATGAAATACATCACTGGGAAATGAGGTTAGAAAAAGAGGATGGGGTCTACAGCCATACCACCCTGAACACACGCAATCTCATCTGATCTCGGAAGCTACATAGGGTTGGGCCTGGTTAGTACTTGGATGAGAAAAAGAGCATGGGGCCAGACTATAAAGGGCCTTGGGATGATTAGCTAAGGAACTGAACCTGATCCTATGGGGCTGTGCTTTCCCAGATCTGTTCTCATCAAGCAATACAAATATAATTCTGTATAGCCCCCTAGAGAAGGCTGCTAGCAGTTAAAGACCAGTGGCCAGAGTGTTAAAGGGATCAACGACTTGGGCATACCAACTGAGGTACTCTGCTATAGCCCATGGCCAACTGAAAAAGACTCTTAAAAAGACTCTTACCTCTTTTTAAAGAGGTATCACATATGCAAGAGGCTTGAGGGGAGAAAGCTCACTTGGTAAGATTTGTTTTTAGGAAAATACATGGTAGCAGTTGCAAGAGTGAAGACCACAGTACCAAAAGAGAACCTATTAGAGCAGGAGAAATAATAAGGACCTAAGTAAATAAAAATGAAAAGGCATGTTTAAGAAGAGAGGTTGCATGTGTTGGGGATAAGTACAAAATGATTTGGAGTAACTTGGTTACTCAGCATGTAAAGCAGTTAGCATATGCTAGTACCTAACTGCTTGAAATGTTAGCTCTTCTGATTTATAGGTGAGAGAACTGGGCAGAGAATAATATCATTAACCATTCTAAGGTATATTGGGCAAGACATGCTGTTTTATTTTTTTTGTAGAATGGCAGGGATCAAATGCAAGGTAATAATTTTGGCTTCAAAAAAGTAGGTTTACAGGTTCTGTGGTACTGGAATGCTGCTGAATAGAAAACAAGTTTAGAATTTAGGAAGAACATTAGTCCTGAAGCTATAATGCTAAGAGCTGTGAAAATACAGAACTATGGTCATGGAAATAGATAAAATGGCATAGTGAAAATATAAAAAGACTGAGAACCCTGGGTGAAATCATATTTAAAGGGTGGGCAATGGAAGCCAGCAAAGGAGAATGAAAAACAGGTAGGAACTAGAAGAGAGATTCAAATATTAAAAACAGAGGTTGCCAAACTTTGCTGACAAGGATCCTCAAAAAATATTGATGCCTGGCCACCACCCCAGACATTATAATGTAATTAAGGGGGAAAGAATCGAGCATGTGGATTTTAAAAAGGTCCAGGTGATTTTAATGTGCAGCTAAGTTTGTGAATCCCTAACTCATGGAAAAATGTTTTAGAAAGTAGTAGTCAATGGTGAGTTTCTGAGACTAAAGTTTGAAATAAGAAAGATGACATACTAGTACTTTTTAATTTCTTTTGTTTTCTAATGTTTACTTACCTTATTTTTTCAATTATATCTTCCAAAAGATACTCTACAACTGGAAAAGTAAAACCAGGTATGTGTATCATTGGACAGTTACCTATTACAGAAGACAAAACATAAGCATAAATTTGTACTCAAATGTTCAAAAAAGCAATATACTGTAAATAGGACAGTACACTATTACTATTCTTTTTTTTTTTTTTTTTGAGACAGAATCTCGCTTGTTGCCCAGGCTAGAGTGAGTGCCGTGGCGTCAGCCTAGCTCACAGCAACCTCAAACTCCTGGGCTCAAGCAATCCTTCTGCCTCAGCCTCCCGAGTAGCTGGGACTACAGGCATGTGCCACCATGCCCGGCTAATTTATATATATATATATTAGTTGGCCAATTAATTTCTTTCTATTTATAGTAGAGACGGGGTCTTGCTCTTGCTCAGGCTGGTTTCAAACTCCTGATCTCGAGCAATCCGCCCACCTTGGCCTCCCAGAGTGCTAGGATTACAGGCTTGAGCCACCGCGCCCGGCCTATTACTATTCTTATCTTCAGAAAATGGTTCTGTAGTTTTTATAGTTCTACCCTATTTTTTCCATATCTTGTTTAGAAAAAAGCAGCAGTCTAGTCTTCACTCAATACCATTTTACTGCTACTAAACAATACAGACATCTTATAATCCTACAAAATAACACAGAATATGAAAGAGTAGAGTATTTTAAGTTGAACTCACTCAAAACCTGTTAGTTAGGAGTCTATTTTCTTTTCATCATTAACCAAGATGGTGCCACATCAGAATCAAAGTTTTACTAAAATCTATATAAGAAGCACTACCTTCTGTGACATTTAGAATTAGGGAAGAAAAGTAGTCAAAATAAGATCTAACCAATACTAAATTATTATTTACTATTTCGGAATCATTAATAAAAATTATGTCTGTACTATTATTTAAATGCTATTTATATTTTCATAACAAACAAAATAAGCATCACACACTGTTAACAAAGACCAACATCACACCAGAGGCCAAAATATCTGAGCTGGTATCACTGCTCTGCCTCTGACTTGCATAAATTTGAGCAAGGTGTTCAATGTTAGTTCTGGGTGTCTCATTTAAAAAAAAAATAATAATAATAATAATAATACCTGCCCCAACTTATCTTACAAGGCTTTCAAAATTAACTGGCATGTATTTTAAAAAACTTTTATAAAGTCAAAAAGAAGAACATTTATTAAACTTTACTATGTTACACTTCAATTTCCTCCGTATCCCCCCCGATACATTTGTAAGCATGAAAGACAGTAAGATATAATTTTAAAAGAATGAATTTTGTAGCTACTCAAATCTAGTTTAGAGCCTCTCATCCTTCTGTTAATTACACAACCTTGGGTAAGCTACTTAACTGCTCTGAAGCTGCTTTTCCATCTGTACAAATGGGAGTAATAACAGTACTTACCTCAAATCCTTATTTTAAGGATTAATAAAGAGAAAAGTGCCAAATACACTACCTGGCACATGGAAAGTGTCTTTCATAAGTGGTTACTAGTAGTATTATTAGCAAACTGCCACCCTAGCCTGAAAAAGTACACAAAAGCTACAGAAGAATCACAAAAAGTTTATAAAATTATTTGAATCTGTGGTTTGATTTCATTGATGTCATCATTTAATTGTAGCACCAAGAATCTACATGAATCTTCACTATGAATTAAAAACAGGCCCAATTCTCCAATTCATGAAACCAGAGGGTAAGACAATGTTACAATAAAATGAATTGCTAAACATTTATTTTGACTACTAGGTACCTATTACTATATTAGTTTCTTAAAAAATTAAATTCAGTGTTTTCTGATACCTTTTCTAGCATAATCATAAATTGTACTCACCAAAATATTCTGAAAATTTCTCAGCATTCAATGTTGCACTCATCAATATTACTTTCAGGTCAGAACGAAAGTTGAGAAGATCTTTAATAACAGTCATTAAAACATCTGACTGTAGATTTCTTTCATGAATTTCATCAAGCACAATATGACTAACACTGGACAAACGCCTAAATCACAAGGGGGAAGTATGTAATTCAGTACAAAATTTAGAAACAATAGTTAGTCTTTAACAACTAGTTAAAGCCAATTTAATAATTACAAGTTTTGTTAATATTTATTTCCTTAATTGAAACATACTCACGAGTCTGACTGGAGCCACTGAAGGATAATTCCTGTTGTACAGTATAAGATAGAACCTTGTTTCCTTGGCAACCGACTGTCAATGAAAGACAGGAATTAATAAGCATTGGTTTTCTTCTCTAATAATTTACAAGTACCACAAAAGTTTCAAAACAAATCTCCAATTTTAGAAATGCTTTTGAAGTTTTAATGAAAATCTTCATATTTAAGTTTTTAATTATAAGAACACCTACCACAATAGAGAAATGGGAAATATTATATTCAAGTTAACTATACATTATCTTTGTTGTCATGACATGATGTTAATGATTTCTTTTTAAAGTCATAACTATTAAAATTTTGAGAATAACTCAATTACTTATAAAGCCTAAATTCCTGGCTCAGTGATCAGAAAGTCTGCCTCATTTGAAACAGTAGATGGAATCCTGAGCTCCAGAAAAGGACTAAAGAAGTACTGTATAGTGGAGTTGACTAGGGGATTCAAGAAACCAAAATCAATAAATAAAGTTAGTCAGGGGTGAGTAGGTAGCACCAAAAGGGATAGGACAACATTCTTTCAGGGGGACTGATGGTCTACTAATGTATGTCCAGGAAAAAAGTTATTTTTCTAATCATTACAAAATGTAAAAGCACATTTAAAACAGATAATCCAAAACTGATTTGGGATTAAAAGATGAGTTGGTGGTGGCAAGCCATCTATGCTGCAATTGCTTTAAATGTCACTTCTAATAGTCATGACCAGCATAAAAATGGGAAAAATTTTCTTTCTTTTCAATCTCCAGCTTTAAACCTTTACCACAATCAACATGTATACAAGAAATGAATACTTCTTACCTCTGGAGACGAATTTGGTATCCAGTACTATTACCATTGCCACAAGATTCTGCTCTTTCTGCAGCCACTCTCTCTGCAACCTTTAATTCAAATAAAATAGTTACAAAGAAAATACAATTTCCTTTAGAACAAATACCCCAATCATCCCTGAAATTCTGGGATTACTGAAAAATTGTTCTTCAGAGTTTAGACGAGTTAAAAAAGTTACTTTTTTTTTTGAGACAGAGTCTCACTTTGTTGCCCAGGCTAGAGTGAGTGCCGTAGCGTCAGCCTAGCTCATAGCAATCTTAAATCCTGAGCTCAAGCAATCCTACTGCCTCAGCCTCCCAAGTTGCTGGGACTACAGGCATGAGCCACCATGCCCGGCTAATTTTTTTTCTATATATATTAGTTGGCCAATTAATTTCTTTCTGTTTATAGTAGAGTCTGTTTATAGTAGGTCTCGCTCTGGCTCAGGCTGGTTTCAAACTCCTGACCTCGAGCAATCCGCCCGCCTTGGCCTACCAGAGTGCTAGGATTACAGGCGTGAGCCACCATGCCCGGCCTTAAAAAAGTTACTTTTTATTAAAATATGAGGAATCTAAAATTGTGTGTGCCTGTCTTAAGAGCTATAGACTACATGCTTATGTTTACATTTCATTCCCTCTTATGAAATCCTTCAAAGTCAAATTTCTCTCATCACTATTTTCAAAGTGCCTTTCTATAGCATCCTCTCATTACTTTCTGCCATTTCTTTTTGTCTTTCCTAAAAGAGTCAGAAACCATGGTCTACACTTGTAAGACTTGTGTGTAATTTGAAGGTAAGTACATGCTGATGCTTTTTCTTTTTTCGTTTGTGATAGAAACTGGTGTTGAATTTTTCTTGTTATGTTTTGAAAGTTATAGCTATCAAAGATAAGCTCTGGATAGGTGAAATGTTTTAATCTAATACTGATTTGTGTAACTAAAAGTAACCAACAGTTATCTTGTGACAGAACAGGGATAATATGAGGTCAGAAACAGAAAATCACATGGTTAATTTTTAAGAATACTTCAGACATAAAACTTTTCAATCAGTATATCCAGTATATGCTGACCCAGACCATATTAACCTGCCCATTTCAACAGATCTTGGAAAAAGTAAAAAAAACACAACCTTTTTCCTACTGTCCGTATCTATGGTAACTGTCATATATTAGAGAAAAATGACACTTAAGTCTAACTACATAATTGTGTTATGACAAAAGTGGTTTACTCTTAAATATTCTGTGATCTTACACAATTTCCAGGAATATGGTCTGGAAGGGTAAAGACTGTTGCTCTTTTTCTTTGTATTTTTTAGAAACTATAGCTAAAAATAGACACCATATTTGCTGCCAAATATGGCCATAATTAGTCTAACCACAGATTCTATATTAAATGTTGTAGATGTGATAAATAGTATTATCATAAATCCAAAGACAACCATGAGACTCTATAATTTAAATTTATACACAGAATTATAATATATAACATAGAAATAAATTTACTATACACACTGAATGTTATAAGAAGCCCTAAACACCTTTAAAGAATATATAACTCAAATACTTAATGTTATCTAACTAAAAACAACAATAAAAAATACAAAAAACCAATGTTATTTGTATAGGTTGATAATCCCTCATCTGAAATGTTCGCAACCAGAAGTGTTTCAGATTTCTAACTTTTTGGGATTTTAGAATATTTGCATTATACTTACCTTTGCTTAAGCATCCCAAATCTGAAAATCCCAAATCTGAAATGCTCCAGTGAGCATTTGTTGGTACTGCTCAAAAAGTTTTGAGATTTTGGAGCATTTCAGATGCTCAACCTGTAATAATATGTACTTATAACTGTTATTTGTGCTTGCCTTCTCAAAATTTTGGATTTAGCAAGATTAGATAGCCAAGATAGATCACTTAAACTAATAATATAAACTTGAAATAAGCCTTATTTTTTGCTTAATGATAAATTTCTTATTGAGTAGATGCATTCAAAAATCACTGACTACAGAAATGCAGCTTTAAAAAAGGCAAAGTTTCCCACTTTGACCACCATTCAGTGTATTTGTGCACTAAAAAGACAATCAGATTTGAAAACAATATTAAATAAAGTAAAATTTAAAGCATCTAATGACAGAGATTACTCGAAGCTTAAAATCAATTCTATAAACATTTTATCAATTTTTCATTCTTTTGGGTTTATAATGAAAATTTTCTGGATTTATAATTTATCTTGAATTCAGAAACATCTATTATCTGTAAGACAGAGGTCACTTAACCTTTTTGTCTTTACTACCAAATATTTGTCAACTAAATATTTGCTCTCATAGCAACAAATACTAAGCCTAATTAAGAATCACCTTAAACCTTCCAAATCAGTAGATTCTAGCAAGATTACTTAAAAAAGGGAAAATTTCAAAACTGGGAAATTACTTACTGAAATGGCACTAATTCTTCTTGGCTGAGTACAAACTATTCTGCAAGCAGATCCTTTTCCCCTTTCAATGTAGTTATCCAAAATGAACTGAGTAACTTGAGTGGTTTTTCCACAACCAGTTTCACCACTTATTACAGTCACTTGATGGTTATCAATTAAATTCACCAATTCCTATTTCAAAAAGAAAAATAAGTGAAAAATATCATACACTGCCCAAGTCTGAAAGGATATTAATTAAAATTCTACCAAACCGAATGTAAGTGTTCTTAATAAACGTATTAATGCTTTCTAAATTTTGTCATATGCAATACTGGCAGTTTAGATAACAGGATCTACTAGTTTTAAGACATAAGTAGCATCAAATTATAAAGAATAGAGCCAAGGTACTATTAAAGAAAAACATACTGACAAAAATGAGAGCTCCTAAGTTCCATGCATAAGCGATGACATTAAATTAAAGAAATACTGATATATGGGGCTACTGACTACAAACCAAACCCTGGCCTAAAACAACTACAGAGAATATCAGGAACTTATATCATAACTCATAAATATGGCTTTGTCTGCAGAACATATTTTACATATTGTTTTAGTAACAAGGAAGAACATATTTTAAGATTTCCTTTCAAATAATTAAAATAAAGTTTTTAAATATGTAAATCAAATGGGTAAACTCTAGGTATTTAGAAAACCTCACATTTGGGGAAGATCATCTTTCTTAAAAAATTTACACATATATTAATATTTTTAATAATAATATTGACTATATAAACAAAACCATTTCAAAAGTGAATTATGGGTTATTTTTATCTACAAAACAATTTAATGTGAAAACCTACCATTTAAAAATTCTCCATCTATTCTACCATACTTTATATATCAAAATAAGTTTTAAGTTTGAACACTGAAATTATAGCTGGTAAATACTGACAAGGGGAATATGATTCATTCATTCAATAATTACTTACTAGATGTCTATAAAATGTCAGGCACTGTTCTGAGTCAAGAGATACAGAGTAAACAAAACAAACCCTGTACTCAAGAACTTACACTGGCCTAGGAAGGGAAGACACACAGATGTCAGGTGATAATAAATGCTATAAAGAGCACAAACATAAATAACTAAAATAAGATTGGGAGAACAGAAAAGGATGAGGGACTATACTATTCTACATGCAGTGATTGTGTTATAATGTGTAATTAATTAAAGCACTCTATTTTTAGTAGTGCCTCAATTTTAACTGAAGTGTTTGGTCTTGAATTAAATTATTTATCCAAAGTAAAAAATTCTATTTTTTAAACTCCACAGATTTCAATTATGTACAAAAATATGAAAAAACATCAGGAAAATTCTTTCATGACCCTTTTTTCTGTTTGACTTTCCAACAATTTAAAAGAAAAAAATTAAGGTCTAATAATACCCCATAGAAGGTTCATTAATTTATATTTTTCTTGACACAGAGCTTTTAAATAAATTGTGTAATTACTTTGCAAAATCAAATTAAATTTTACCTTTCGCATTCCATATGAAGGCAGCTTTTCTCTGAAATGCTGAAATTAAACAAAAATTAAAATTTTCATAAGAGAAATGTAATCAAATATAATCATGGTAATCAGGATAAAACATAGGTAAATATGTCCAAAAGTATTTTTACTATGACTCGTATGAAGTTTCAGCACTTAAATTTTCTATAAAGGAATTTACCAATCCTTTTTAATTTTGAAACACTCAAAAATAGAATTCTATCACATTCAACATAATAAAGACACTTCTTTAAAGTTTGTAGCAGTAAACAAAATCAGGTCTGTTATCTAATAGCATTCTAAGAATCCCTAAATTATTTTTACCATTTTGCTGCATATTTGTTTTATATATTCAACTTAGATTTGATTTCTATATCACACTCTTTTTCCAACCCATCAGTGCACCATTTACTAATACATCAGGCACTGCACCGGATTCAAAGATTATTTCAGGATATGTGCCTTTGACTAGAAGAGATAACCTAAAACAAGTAATATCTGGAGTCAAAAAATCCAGTACTGCCATTTTATAACTACGATCTTAGTTAATTCAAACTTGGAGCACAAACGCCTCAAAAGGTTTATCACATAGGGTTGCCAGTAGATTTGAATGAAAAATTTTTATTAAAAGTATCAGTTTCTGACACATTTAAGCTACTTGAATTGTAAATTTATTGAATCACGACTGGAATACTAAAAAAAGGGTGACTAATTTCTTTCCTAGGTTTCTTTCATTTATGTGACAATTCCTAATTTTGAAAACTTTTATGGGACCCATACTATGTTAAAACACTAAGAAGTGGTACTATGGTTAACATTCAACTAGGTAAATCATATAACAAGAAAAAATATTCTGTGGCATAAAAATAAAGTCAATTTTAATAAACCTCCTTTATTGAAGGGGAAAAAATTTAATTTAAAAAATAAAATTAGAAAATGAGGTGGCAAAGGCCACCAAGTCATAGGAAATGGAAAGTAATTCTAGGTTAAAGAAGAGATTGCCAGCATCACAGCATATAATAGGTGTTCAATAAATGACAAGATTCATGGGCTAATTGACTGATTTCCTAAATTGATGGTCAAGAACAGAATTTATGAGAGGGGCTGGAGCAAGATGGCCAAATAGAAACCTCCAGAGACCCCATACTTCACTGCTGAATTCTACCAACCATTCAAAGAACTAATACCAATCCTACTTACACTAAAAAACTCCAAAAAACTTACACTCCAAAAAACTGAGGAGGGGATATTCCCAAACTCATTTTAGGAAGCCTGTAGCACTCTGATATTAAAACTAGGCAAAGACACAACAAAAAAAGAAAACTATAGGCCAATATCTCTGATGAACGTAGATGCAAAAATCCTCAACAAAATGCGAGCAAACAGAATTCAACAACATATTAAAAGGATTATCCATCATGATCAAGTAGAATTCATTCCAGGTATGCAAAGATGGTTCAACATATGCAAATCTATCAGTGTGCTACATCATATCAACAGAACAAGGGACAAAACCATATGAGCATTTCAACTGATGCTGAAAAAGCATCTGATAAAATTCAACATCCCTTTCATGATAAAAAAAACCCTCAAAAATCTGAGTATAGAAAGAATATACAATACAAGCTATCTATGACAGACTCACAAGTAGTATTATACTGAATGGGAAAAACTGAAAGCCTTTCCTCTAAAACCTGGAACAAGACAAGGATGTCCATTTTCACCACTGTTATTCAATATAGTACTAGAAGTTTTAGCTAGACCAATCAGACAAGAGAAAGAGAAATAAAGAGCATCCAAACTGGAAAGGAAGAAGTCAAATTATCCTTGTTTGCTGATGATATGATTGATCTTATATTTAGAGAAACCTAAAGACTCAACAACAACAAAAAAACCTATTAGAACTGATAAAAAACAAATTCAGTAAAGTTGCAGGATACAAAATCAACATACAAAAATCAGCAGCATTTTTATATGCCCAGTAAACAATCTGAAAAAGAAACCAAGAAAGGTATACCATTTGTAATAGCTACAAATAAAATATCTAGGAATAAACTTAACCAAAGTAAAAGATCTCTATAATGAAAACTATAAAATGTTGATGAAAAAAATTGAAGACAACACAAAAAAGGAAAGATATTCCATGCTCATAGATTGGAAGGATCAATATTGTTAAAATGTTCAGACCACCCAAATCAATCTATAGATTCAACGCAATTCTCATCAAAATACCAATGACATTTGTCACAGAAACAGGAAAAATAATCCTAAAATTTATATGGAACAACTAAGGATTCAGAATAGCCAAAACCATCTGAGCAAAAAGAACTGGAGGAATCACTTTACCTGACTTCAAATTACATTACAGAGCTATAGTAACTGAAATAGCATATTAGCATAAAAACAGAAACATAGACCAATGGAACTATTACAATAGAGGACCCAAAAATAAAGAAATACATCTATGAACTCATCTTTGACAAAGGTACCAAGAAAGTAAAAAGACAGTTTCTTCAATAAATGGTGCTGGGAAAACTAGATTATCCATATGCAGAAGAAAGAAACTAGACCCTTATCTCTCACCATATACAAAAAATCACAACAAAATGGATTAAAGACTTAAATCTAAGACCTGAAACTATGAAACTGCTAAAAGAAAACACTGGGGAAACACTTCAAGACACTGGTCTGGGCAAGGACTTTTTGAGTAATACCCCCAAAGCACAGGCAAGCAAAGCAAAACTGGACAAATGGGATCACACCAAGCTAAAAAGTGTCTACAAAGCAAACAACTCACAAAGTGAAGAGCCAACCCAAAGAATGGGAGAAAATATTTAGACTACCCATCTGACAAATGATTAACAACTAGAATATACACAGAACTCCAACTACTCAATAGGAAACATATCAAATCCGATTAAAAACCGGACAAAGGGCCTGAACAAATATTTCTCAAAAAAAGACATGCAAATGGTCAACAGGTATATGGAAAAATGCTCAACATCATTAGTCATTAGATAAATGTATATTAAAACTACAAGGAGATACCATCTCATCCTAGTTAAAACGGCTTTTATCAAAACGTCAGGCAATAACAAAATGCTGGCTGAGGATGTGGAGAAAGGGAAACCCTTGTATACTGTTGATGGACATGTGAATTAGTGCAACTATGGAGAAGAATATGGAAGTTCCTCAAAAAACTAAAAATAGAACTACCATGAGACTCAGCAATCCCAATCCTAGGTGTTGGGTATATACCCAAATGATGGGAATTCAGTCTATTGAAAAAATATCTGCGTTCCTTTGTTTACTGCAGGACTATTCATAATAGCCAAGATTTCAAATCAACCCCAGAGTCCATCAATGATGAATGGATAAAGAAATTGTGGTATATATACACAATGGAATATTATATAGCCACAAAAAAGAATGAAATTAGGCTGGGCGTGGTGGCTCACACCTGTAATCCTAGCACTCTGGGAGGCTGAGGCGGGAGGATCGTTTGAACTCAGGAATTCCAGATCAGCCTGAGCAAGAGTGAGACCCCATCTCTACTAAAAATAGAAATAAATTAGCTGGCCAACTAAAAATATATAGAAAAAATTAGCCAGCCATGGTGGTGCATGCCTGTAGTCCCAGCTACTCAGGAGGCTAAGGCAGAAGGATCGCTTGAGCCCAGGAGTTTGAGATTGCTGTGAGCTAGGCTGATGCCATGGCACTCTAGCCTGGGCAACAGAGTGAGACTCTGTCTCAAAAAAAAAAAAAAAAAAAAAAAATGAAATCCTACCATTTGCAACACCATGGATGGAACTAGAGAACACTATGTTAAGTGAAATAAGCCAAGTACAGAACAAGTACAGAAAGATAAATCTCACATGTTCTCATTCATATGTGGAAGCTAAATATTAAAAGCTATTGATCTCCTGGAGATAGAGAATAGAATGATGGTTACCAGAGTACCAGAGGCTGGGAAGGGTAGTGAAGAGAGGGGAATAAAGTGGGGATGGTTAATGGGTACAAAAATAGAGTTAGATAGAATGAACAATATTTGATAGCACAACAAAGTGACCATAATCAGCAAGTTAGGGTATACTTTAAAAGAACTGAAAGAGTGGAACTGGAATGTTCCTAACACAAAGAAATGATAAATGCCTGAGGTGATACATATACCAATGACACTGATTTGATTAATTCACAATATGTCTGTATCAAAACATCACATATACCTTATAAAGACATACAACTATTATGTACCCATAATTTTAGAAAAATTTAAAAAATAATAAAATTATAGTAAGTATAAAAAATAAATAAAAATTAAATGAGAACTGTTCTAGATAATCTAGTGTATTACTGCCATGCTTGTCATGGTCAGGTAATTCCTATTGGCATCATAAAAATGATAGTCAACGTGATTAAATGAATTCTGATACATTAAAATAATAAAAGCCATCACACCATACTAATTTCTTTCATAAAAATTTTTAAGTTTGAAAACTTCTTAATGACATTTAAAAATACTTCATGTAATCAAATGTAACCATCTTAATACAAGCTGCCCACTATACTTCTGACATTAATCATATTTGGTTTGGTTTATAAAGTAAACCAATTAGAAAATGCTTCCAGAAAATGAATTACAGAATATTCATTTCTAAGGCAGCCAAACCTATTTCCTAATTTCTGACTATAACCAAGATATGAAATAATGTGATCATAATCTGAGGACAGGAAATACCACTTTCCAGAAAATATAGCATAATATTAATAAGTGCCATCCAGCAAGTACAAAATTAATGTTAATTATAACAAAGAAAAAATATTGCTCATTGTTAAAAAGAATTAAAAAGGTGAGTTCTTAAACACAACTGAATTTTAGACCTGCTTCTGTTATGAATTGTACATCCTTAAGTAGGTCACCTAACCAAGATTCTTTTTCCTCATCTGTAACAGACACATATGCTCTCTTAACAAGGTTGTTGGGAGGTTTATATTATATAGTACATGAGAAGCATTTTTAAATGCACCTGGGAAACAGGAAAATCACCAACTGTTTTTATGTTTTTTATATTTCTTCTTTTTCGGAACTATATCAATCACTCATCTTCAAGAATATTGAGTTCTGTCCACTATACAAAGCAAAGAGAGAGACAGTAACTCTTCTTGTTCCTAAGCCTATAAAAGCAGCTCTTCTCTTAACCACAAAATTCTGAATTAATTTATCTTGAAATTTCCTCCATTTTCAAATCTTATTTGTACTTGACAGGCATCAAAGACCTACTTAATTTGTCTCTGGACAACCTCAGTTCACCTATTCTAATAAGGAAATTCAATTTTCTTCAGTGACAGTCAAGGATCCTTTCTTTCTTTCAAAAGATATAAGATATCTTTCCCCAAAACATCAGTATGTATGTGCATATTAAAGACATGGCCCTCAGAATTCTCAGCATTTTCTTTTAAAAATATGCATACTTACATGTGAATATTTTATTAGATCTCTAGAACACTCACAAAGCACACAACTGTACGGGTTTTTTTTTGTTTGAGACAGGGTCTTGCTCTGTTGCTCAGGCTAGAGTGCATTGGTGTCTTCACAGCTCACTGCAACCTCAAACTCCTGGGCTCAAGTGACCCCCTGCTTCAGTCCCCCCCAGCAGCTGGGATTACAGGTATGTACTACAATGCCTGGGTAATTTTTCTTTTTTTGTAGAGACTAGGTCTCACTATGTTGCTAATATTACAGGTGTGAGCCACCACACCTGACTACAATTTTATGTTTTAATTGGAAGGACCTTAAAATATCTTGCCTAGCATGGAAAGAAAAAATTGGAACAATTGTGGAAAATTTCAGTTCTTGTCACAGTCTTATATTTAAAATGTTGATGAACATAGCACATCATGTAACTCTTGAAAGATTTAATTTTATCATCTATAAAAGGAAGAAAATGTATTAAATAATCTGGAAGAAACTTTACAATTCTAACTGGTTGGCTGTTACAGTACCTCATTAAACTGTCCTAGAAAAGTTAGATTTTTCTTTTTTTTCCCCATTTGTACTAGTATTTCTGAAACATTTCTTCTTCTTACTACATAAGCTTCTGTGGATGAGATAGGATACTATTATGTGTAACTTCCACTCCCACTGCTTCTCTCTCCTATTCAAAAAGAAAAAGATTCCCACAGAGGATGTCTTGTTGAGAAATCTTACTGATCTATACAAAGCAGTTACTTATAACCATATATATATTTTTATCAAGGGTGAGAAAAGAATCTCAAGTAAAAATTTTTTCAACATGTTGCTTTCCTTTACCTGCATCTCAATATACCGAAGGTCATTTTTTTTCTTTTGTAAATCTTCCAATAATTGTTGGTCTAAGGTTACATTTGGTTCATTTTCTTGCAAGAGATACTCAGAATCTCGGTCTATATATGACTTGTTCCTGATTATAAACGTCCTTTTTTCTTGGTTGATCAATCTCTTTTCCTGGTTATCATGTTTCTTCTCTGAGTTTGGTTTGTTTTTAGTAGAAACTTCACTACCGTATCTATTTTGACAAAATAAAAATTAAAAAAAAGGTCAAATAAGGAACCATTCAAGGGCTGAAACAAAATATGCTGTTTAAATATTTCAAAATTACCCAAACAAAAGCTTTCATTCTTTTCTCTTAGTAGAGCAATTATGAAATAGACTTAGATTCTCATAATGAATTAAAATTTTTCCTTCATTTACATGGATATTGCCAGGTAAATTATTCTTTTGGTAGTTAAAACAAAAATTAAAAATCCACACAATAGTCACTCGTCCATTACAGTGTTTTTTCTGATTTTCTTGGGACTTGTTTCACAATGTCTTCATTTTCTTCCTGCCACCCTTTCTGAGCTATAAATGAGATGCTACATTATACAGTTCCTAAAATACTTCAACTAAGTTTTCCTTTAAATCAGCACTCCCCAACTTTTTTTTTTTTGGAGACAGAGTCTCACTCTTATTACCCTGGCTGCAGTGCCTCGGCGTCAGCCTAGCTCACAGCAACCTCAAACTCCTGGGCTCAAGGGATCCTTCTGCCTCAACCTCCTGAGTAGCTGGGACTATAGGCATGCACCACCATGTCTGGCTAATTTTTTCTATATATTTCTTTAGTTGGCCAATTAATTTATTTCTATTTTTAGTAGAGATGGGGTCTCGCTCTTGCTCAAGCTGGTCTCGAACTGAGCTCAAACAATCCGTCCGCCTCGGCCTCCCTCCCAGAGTGCTAGGATAACAGGCAGTGAGCCACCGCACCAGGCCTTAGCACTCCCCAACTTTTTGGCACCAGGGACCGGTTTCATGGAAGACAATTTTTCCATGTATTGGAGTGGGATGGGGTGGAGTATTGTGTGTAGGAGGAGAGTGGTGCTGAGCTCAGGCAAGGATGGGCAGCATGTTTCCCAACAGGCCACATGGATGGATACCAGGCCCTGGACTGGGGGTTGGGGACCACAGCTATAAATGATACAGTTCTTGCAACCTTCCTAAAACACAGAAATTTAACTTCTTGTAGACCTTTCCAGCAGGAGAATTTCGAAAATACAAAGATGACTCATCTCATATCCGGATATATTAATATTCATACCATTTAGCTTCCCTGTGAAAATATGCCATCTAAATTTTTGAAAAATATTTTCTACAAATCTGTTTGATCTACATAAGAAAAAAATTACTTGAAGGCTAAATTTCACTTACTGAAAAGTCTACAGATGTATTTTTATAATCATCTTTCTTTTAGCTAATGCTTTGAAAGAAGTGTTACTCTTTGCCCACTTTTTCTTTTTCAAAAAAGAACACTTTATTTTGGTCTTACCCATGATCCTCAGGAGCAAACCAAGATATCTGTGCTTCTGAATCTTTATCATTCTTAGCCTGGACAGAATTCAGTAACTGCACAATTTGTTCTTCTCGTCTTTCATCCATGTGTACTACAGCTCTCTATTTTGTGCAAAGCAAAAAGCATCTTTTTCAACATAAGAATATGTAAAATTATTAATAACTAAAAAAAAATAAAGACAAAGTAATATGTGTTTAATAAACATATATAAAAGTTACTTACCCACACTGGCCTTCTAGCCCAACCCTACTTCCTAGACGTAATTAATGTAAACATTTTTATATATATCCTTCAAGACCTTTTCTCACCATATATCCATAAAATTAGGTAACATGATTGGTAAAGAGAGTTATATTTATGTCTCTTCCTACAACTTCGGCTCTCCTAACTCCAACTTACTAATTATTATGAATTTTTCTTTATCTTAAATTTTCAAAATTCTTAAAACCCAAATGGTCCACCAAAAAAAAAAGTTGAAAACTGGAATATTTTGGTTGCAAATGAGTACTTAAAAGTTCTTATAATAATAAAAAGAATAAAACAGGGAGTAAGAAGGCTGAGCTCAGAAGTAATAAATATAATTGAAAAGTGCTCATGGAGATGGTGATCCAATGTAGCAAATGAAGCAGTTGCTTTAGGGAATGAGAATAAAAAACATAACAGATCAGACACAGATAAGATCTTTGGGGAGCTACGAAAATTTTTTAGAAACTTTAAGTATGCATCTAAGAAACTGAACTACAGGTCAAGGTAAAAAAGAATAAATGCCAAACCCAATTCTTTGGAGGCTTTTATTTTTCAGAGATAGCAAGCTGAAAAACATTTTTCAAAGTCCAACCTGAAGGGCTACAAACCTCAGGTTCTTTAAGATCCAGATTTAATGTGTGTATGAATCCACAGGCAACTGGAAACGTGAGGAATGGTGAAAATTAGAGTGTGTAATGTTAAAGAACTGAAGACAGAGGAAGGTGAAAGTATGAATGAAAAAATAGTTAAAAATTGGAATGAGAAAGCCTTACCCTTAATAAGTATTTAATGGGGGTGGGAAAGAGGCAAGGGGAAAGAAAGAATTAAGACAACTATTTCAAATTAAAGAGTGGGTCCTGAAAGAAAAGCAGTAAAATCAGCTATTAGAGGGCTACTGTGCATCTTTCCTTCATCTCTCCTTCACTTGCCATGCTACTGCAATCTGGTTTTTACCACAATACCACAGAAAGGGTTCTCATCAAGGTTACCTTGACAACCTTGTAGGCAAATCCAATAAACAGTCTCAATCCTTACTTTATGGCAGCTGTGCATGCTTGCCACTGATTCCTTTCTCTTGTTTACATACTCTTCTCTCCCTTAAACACTATTCTTGGATTCCAAAACAACACTCACCTCCTTATTTTTCTCTTCTCTGGCTACTACTTTCTAGATTCTGTTGCAACCTCCTCTTCCTCAACCTGACCCTTAAATTTTCATGTTCTACATTTTACAGCCTGATTATTTTACAGATCAGCAGCAATGGTATCATCTAGAAATAACTGGTCCCACCACAGTCCTGTATTTTAACAAGATGCCAGGTGATTCCTATGTACATTCAAGTTTGAAAAGCAATGGTCTACAGAACTCAGGCATAGGCCCACTCTTCTCACTGTTTACTCTCACACTCCAACTACCATTGAATGGCCCATGAACTGCCAATTGCTCATCTCCAGTTTAGATTTCTCTAGGCGTCAGATCCACACAGCTCTCCACCTCTTGGAAATCCTCATTTGTAAGTCCTATGACAATATCAAACTCATAGTGTCCTTAGCTGAGCCTACTGCCTTCCTCCAACAAGCGTGATCCTTATATAGGTATAAAACTGTCATCCATTAACATTTGCTGTCCCCAGCCCTCCAGATAATCACAAATCATTTTGAGTTTACCTCCTAAATCACTTTAATCTGTCCACTTCCCCCCATCTCCACTGCAAATGTCCTTATTCAAGCTGTCACTTTTCACCTTAATTATTGCAGTGGCTACTTACTTAACTGGCCTCCTTACCACAGAACTGCCTCTCTTTAATTCATTCTCTATACTGCTACCAGAGTCAATTTAACATTTAAAATTCAGTCATTTCATTCTTTGTTTAAACTGCTTTAATAGCTTATTACGGTTTTTAGGGAAAAGTCAATGAATCTCAAAGCACTACTTATTTTTATAGCCCTGAGCTTTTCAATCTTCTGTTTGTGAAAATACATTAAAGAATCATTAACAGCATTGATAAAAAGAATGGAGAAAAGTTCAAAAACAACAACAAAACCCAGAGTAATGCACAGGTAATTAAGTATTATCTTACAAAACTTTTAGTTTAGTTGTACATATATGTGGACCAGATTATAACTTAAAATGTATTCCTTTTTGTGTGAAGTGGTCAACAACTTTGAAGTCTACTTCTCTACCCTCATCTCACCACACTCCACATCCATGCTCTTATCTTTCAGTTTCTTGAATGCGGTCTTCCTGACTTCCACGTTGTGGCATATGCTGCTGCCTCTGCCTGAAGATCCTTTCCAAACCCCCAAACCCCAAACACACACACAGACACACAGACTTTGGTATCTTCCAAAGTTTGAGCTTTAGGAAAGTCTTCTACAATACCTTGATTTGAATCAGATGATAGACTATATTCTCCTTATCATAATACTTTCATTGTATTCTAAATGTCTACAGCCTCTAACATACTGTGATCA